TGTCGGGCGCGATGCAGACAACGTTCGTCTTCGCCTTCCCGTTCGCAACAGACGCGACGACAACAGGATGGGGACGAGTGATGTACTCGTCGTACATGGTGAAATTGTCCAACTCGTGATCGTAGCTCGAATTGCCAACACCGGCGGGACCGTAGCCGACAAGCGGGGCGGTGTGGTAGCCCTCTGGAAGTTGGACGCCGGTTGGGGGGACGGAACAGGTCATGTTTGTTGTGTTGAGTGTGCCTCCTGTACACAAAGCGGGTTAGTAAAGCACCGAACGCATGGAATAAGGGAACTTCGAGCTAAAAACCCGACGTACCGATCATGCCCATGCTACTCGAGAAACCCGATCCACAAATCTCCTTCATCTCTGTCTCGTTCAAGTGCGGTGGCGGGCATACGAACGAAGCGCGTCCGCTGGTGCCGTTAGTCATTTGCTCTAGCGCGTCATCCGGGAGCGTCAATTCGCTTTCCAGATAATCCAGACATTCTTGCGGTAGTACTCCATCGCAGCCGCTCTCATCGTCGCCTTGTCTGACATTATCAACACCATGGAAGAACCATACGCAGGTTTGGTCGAGGCTGTTGGGGGGAGCGCTTAGGTACACCATGTTCTGGGCATCGAATGTCCTGCTCCACCTGTCTGGATCGCGGAACTCGCCGAATGTGACGGAGATGCGCAGGTCGGAGACGTTTGCTGTGCCGCTGCCGTTTACGGGGTATTCGTAGTGGTCGCCTAAACGGTTTAGGTCGGGGCAGCTGTCGGAGCTGGGGTGGATTTCGCTGCTGTTCTGGGCAAGGGATGAGGTGGTTAGGAGGGATGCTGCGATGAGAGCGCTGCGCAGGTGGGATGATCGTGGTGCCATGGTTGGAATATGTTTGTAGAGGTTGTTTGGTATTGAGAGTGGTGATGATTATGTAGAACGAGCGCGTCGAGTTGATCTTGTACATCCTAAGGCCGACCACTCTGTCGCCCCGACGGCTCTGCATCACCCTGCCGAATTGACGTCACATCGTAGTCAGCCTTGTTTGTTTCGCTGTGGTGCAACAGGACGCCTGATTATGTGTTGTTATTCGCAGTCGCGGCTATGCGATACTGACGCTAAGCCTGCGATTGACGTAAAAAGGTACCACAGGAATCAGCCGCCAAGTATGTGGTCGACACGCGATGCATACACAGTCAGACGTTTCATAGGCTTGTACGGATCGGGGCCGGAATGCTGTGATCAGGGCGAGTTGTGTGGCTTTGAGGTATGCCAAGCTGGATGTCACGGCTGGGCTTTACCCACAAGGCACGCCTTAACCGTCGGTGGTAATGGATTACTATTCCTGCGAACTCAGGTCCGGATGCGCATCTGGGAATTGCGTTGATCGTGTGGGCGACGGTTCGATGGTTAGATCGCTTGCGGGTATTCTTGTGCGCTTTTCAAACATGATGTCGTGGTACCTGGCGCTCACGTGACGTCGTAGTTCGCCTTGCGAAAGCAAAGCTAAATCTTTCACCGCCTCGTTCTGGTCGGATGCGGGGTTAGAAGGAGCAAGTCAGTAGACAAGCATAGCGGATCTAAATGAGCGCATGATTGATGAAAAGCGATGCCACCAAACTCAAATGTTGAAGTTGATAGGATACATAGAAGGAGTGAAGTGCGAGGTTGACAGCGGGGAAGGCTTGACCTCGCGAAGTGCGGGGGGCGCTAAGACCGCCTTGGCCTCACGCGACTGGCCGCCTCTATCGCCAGAACTTCATCACTATCTTCTCATCCCACCTTTGATAAGCTCATCGACGCGCATAACAACTCGCAATCCCTAACATGTCGAGGTTCGTGATTGAAGATCCTCTTCGAGTTGCCAGTGCGCTCTCAGAACGCTTCTATACTCCGCCAAGGCCCGTCGAAACAGCATGTCGCGCACGATCCGCATAGCCGCGGCACAGGTTGGCGCAGTCCATCGCACTGACATCCGTGGAAACACAATAGACCGACTCGTCCGTCTTCTCAATCAAGCCGCTGAGCAAGGCGCACATGTTGTACTATTCCCAGAATGTACTTTTACCACCTTCTTCCCTCGTCATCTCATCACCAATGAAGCGGAACTCGAGTCGTTCTTCGAACATGGCGATGTGACTACAGCAGAAAACACAAGACCTATCTTCGAACGAGCTAAGGAGTTGGAGGTCGACATCTGCATCGGATTCGCAGAGGCAACAGATGACGGCGACCACTACAACTCCTGCGTCTATTATCCCGCCAAGTCCGGATCTATTCTGTCGAAGTATCGAAAGGTGCATTTACCCGGAGACGTTGACCCTTTCCCCGAGCCCGATGCCGTCAACCAGCTTGAGAAGCGATACTTTAAGCCGGGTAATTTAGGGTTTAAGGCCTTCCGAGTACCTGGCCTGGTGGAGACCACACCTGAACACGGCGAGCCCATCTTCGGCATGATGATATGCAACGATCGACGTTGGGCAGAAGCTTGGAGATGCTTGGGTCTTCAAGGCGTCGAAGTTGTTCTCGTCGGCTTCAACACGCCTGGCTTCGCTCCTCAGATGTGGGGTGCGTCCCCCGATGTGAGTCCAGCGGAGGCACGTGCTGAGGCCATCTTCCATCACAAGCTAGTCATGCAGGCCCACTCATACACCAATGCATGCTTCTCCGTCAGCGCAGCGAGATGCGGGTTGGATGATGGGAAGTACGATCTGGTAGGAGGTTCGACTATCATTGGGCCTGATGGAAAGATTGTGGTTGAGAGCAAGACGGAGGAGGATGAAATCATCGTCGCCGATTGCGACCTTGATCGATGCCTACCAGGCAAGACGCGGACGTTTGACTTTGCGAGACATCGGCGGACGGAGCATTATGGTATTCTGACTTCGCAAACGGGAGTGGTCGAACCGCCGCGACTAGCACAATCGGAAAACGCGCATCATGAACCCAAGGCTACAGCGAGCAATGGTAAACGTAAGACGCTGGCCTCCGTCACAGGCGCCAGATCTCCAAAGCACATTCGCATCCTCCTCTGCAACCCCAACGCGACTAAATCAATGACAAACGCCTGTCTAGAAACACTCAAGCCAACACTCCCACCCAACGTCACCGTTTACGGCTTTACAGCCCCTAAACCAGCGCCATCAGCTATTGAATCAAACTTCGATAACATCATGTCCGCAGCCGCCGCCGCCCGAGCTATCATACCCGTTGCACATCAGTACGACGCCTTCCTCATAGCTTGCTACAGCGATCACGCACTCATAAAGGTCCTTCGTGAAGCACTCTCGCAGCCGGTAGTTGGGATTATGGAGGCCTCACTGTTCGCTGCACGAACGCTGGGTGGACGGTTTGGCATCATCGCAACAACGCGACGATCGCAGTATACGCTGGAGGACTCTGTGAAACACTACGGTCTAGAATCATTCTGCGCTAGGATAAAAAGTTGTAATCTCGGGGTTTTAGAATTAGAATCGAAGCCTGAAGAGGAAGTGCTTGGTACCATGTGCGACGTGGGCAAGAGATTGGTTGCGGATGGTGCTGATGTGTTGACGCTTGGGTGTGCTGGCATGACAAACATGAAAGCTGCTGTTGAAGAGGCGGTTGGAGGTCATGTGCAAGTGATTGATGGTGTGCTGGCCGGTGTACATCATCTGGTTGGTCTTGTTAGACTTGGGATGCAAACGGCTAAGAGGGGTATGTATGCGAGCGCGGAGATAGACAGGGCGAAGAGGCCAAGCTTGGTATTGAATGCGTTTGATACATGAACGCCTGCATGACATCCTCCCTAGTGTCGGTGTAGCATGAACACCACGTATATATGCTCGCTCAAGTCCAGCGCAACCTCGTAGTTATGCCAACATCATCTCTCACGTATTCAACCATCGTGCAACATCGACATGGCCGGTGAACAATCTTCCGAACAGCCCAAGGCTAAGCCTGTGGCATCAGAATCCGACAACATAGAACGCTTTGCCGAACACGTCAACGAGCGAAAGAGAAGGCGTAATCTATGGGGTCAATACGTGGACGAGCAGTCACGCAAGAAGTCTGACGGAGAGAAGTCTGTTCATACACCAGATCCTTCTGAGTCTACCAACTCCAAGGGAACGCAGACTGATGATACGCCGTATGTTACAGAGCCGGACGTTGATAGCGCCACGGGAGTTGGCGATAAGGACGTGGAAGGAGCGGGCGTAAAACTGGCAAACGAGGGTGGAGATGAAGATGGGTTCGTTAAGACGCCATGTACTGGTGGTGCGTCGGGGGAGCAGGATAACATGGATTTGTATGAGCCGTAATGCGACAATGATAAGACTGTTGGTTGTAACACGTTCAAACGGCCTATCATGGCCTGCATAGCCGTTTGTATCCGTCAGTTACACTAGTGACACTCAGTCAGCGAACGACAACTGCTATTGGACCTGGCATATAAATACCGCTTTTCTTGCCTCTCGTCTGACCTGCCCCACCGCCCTGATCACACACTACCGATACTTCCAGCTTACCCCAAATTTAGCAAGAACATATCCAAAGCTTTAGCGCAATGTCTGAAGGTCCTCCTGAGAAGCCATCCGATGGTGGATTCGGTCAGAAGATTCCACATCCGAGAGATATAATGGGCGAATTTATAAGGCAGAATCCGAATACAAATGTTGTAGATCCAGACGTGCCAGATGATGAAGAGGAGGAGACGAACGAGGGAGAAGAGAGAGCGACAGATGTAGAAGCAGAGGAAGGTCAAAGTACAGGTGTTGATGAGCAGTTCGGTAGCGTGAAGGACAGAGTTCGGGAATTGGAGCGTAGGTCGTAACGCGTTGACGCAAGCTCTTCCACCTTCACCTTAGCCTGAACTTAAGATTTAAGACTCCCGCGTTTTGCAGAGCAACACATTGATAGTGTTCGACAATAGCTATGCGGAGATCCTGCAGCCCTCTGCAGCCCTTCGTCAAGTTCAAGCTCGAGCTTAAAACTATTGAAACATGCGCATAAGATCAAGCTATACATGCCACCTCTTTACCGGAAGTAAGTCGGTGCCGTAGCCTTAGCAGCCATCCAAGCTTCATCCAAAGCCTTCACCACATCATCAGGCAACGGTCCCTTCTCCAGATCCGCCAGATTACCCTCCAACTGCTTCAAATTACTCACCCCAATGATCACACCGTCATTCCCACCCTTAACCCGTGTCTTCAACTCAGAGTGGTGAACGCACCACCGCAGCGCAATCTCGAGCAGCGTCAGGTCGTGCTTCTGGGCAGCGTCTTCAGCAATCTTCAGAGCCTGGAACGTGGCGTCTTTGAAGTAGCGGTCGCGGTACATGCTTCCGACGCGATCGGCTTTGGTGCCGAAACGGCCTTCGTCGGGCTTGATGTCTTTGGATTTGATCTTGCCGGAGAAGAGACCGCCGGCTAGGGGGTTGTAGATGACGATGTCGATGCCGTATTTGCGGCATGCTGGGATGAGCTCGGGTTCGATGGCGCGAGCTTGCACGGTTAGACGATGCCCTCCGCATGAGAAGGTAGATACTCACTGATTGCGTTGTACATGGCCTGGTAGATGGTCGGCTTCACCCAGCCACGCTCCTTGCAGATATTATACACCTCTGCAACCTCCCACGCAGCGAAATTGGAAAGACCCAAGTTGACAAACTTGCCCTGCTTGTGCAGCTCATTCACAGCACCGAGTGTCTCCTCGAACGGCACGGAATGGTCCGGTGCGTGCAGGTAGAAAATGTCGACACAGTCCGCCCCCAGCTCTTTGAGACTAGTTTCAAAGTGTTCTTTCAGCCTATCAGGCTTGTGAACACCAGCCTCATAAGGGTACACCTTGGTGGCGAGAGTAAAGCCGCGGTCCTTCCACCCCGCCTGGCGCGTCCATGCCTCTTGCTTGCCGCCAACGTACATGCGCGCCGTATCGATCTCATCGTAGCCCTGGGACTGGAAGTAGTCGAGATGCTTGGTGAATTCGTCAAACTCTGTGATGCGCGCGCCGCTGGTCTCGTCGGGACCTGGGATGCATTAGTCATGGTGTTGGGGTGTTGATCGGCGAAGCGTACCGAATGTCATCAAGCCGAGGATGACTCGGTCTTTTGGGTTCTGCGCAATGAGAGGCATCTTGGTGTTTTGTCTGAGTTGTGCGATAGTACGAAGTAAGGATTATTGATGGAGAGCTTCACGCCTGCCGTCGTTGTCGCGAGATGACGACAGCGGGGTGCCCCACCCGGAGATAAAGACGCGGAGATATGCGGAAGAGCCGAACGAACCTTCTTCATTGATGGATGTCGATACACTATCGAAGATCACTTATCGTTCTGCGCGTTCGTAGTACATACCCATATTCCCTCTTCCTTCCCACTCCCTCAGATCCAGACTCCGTATCGCTGTCGTGCCTTCCATGTTTGATCCACGTCCATGCCTTGGCGAAGATCGTCTTCTCGGATGACATCCAATGCCAAATCAAAAGTACCGCTGCAGTAGTCGGCAAACAGATTGCCCAGTAGATCCCAAAGCTTCGTTGCATAACCCTCGGTCCGTTCCAATCCAGTACAGGCATAGCAAATAGGGTAGCGAAGAAAGTGAGAGGCAGAAAGATCATAGTCGTAACCGCGATGGTTTTCATCGAGTAACTGTCCTTTCGTGCTGCTATTGCGACATCCTGACTACTTTTCGCATCCTCGCGTGTGAGCAAGTTGAAGATCTAGTGCTTATGATCAGCTGGTGGTACAACGCCCTGGGTCTTTTGTATCCACCTACTACGGCCTGTTGTGTCCGGCCACGCTCTTGAAGATAGCCTGCCTGCAACTCTCCCGATTTCGTCTGGCCTTCCAGAAGCAATGCGGCAGCAAGGATGTCATCCAAGGGGGCTGAAGTGCTTGTAGTGTCCGAGAATTGCGCAGCTACTGGGTGGTGGGCTGATGACTGTTGGGCTGATGCCAGATCGTTGAGAATGTCCCTCGCAATGCAAGCGTGCCGAAAGACATTTGCGAGTACTGTCAGTACGGAGCCTAGTTCTTTGGACTCAGTGACTAACTCATCGGTACTTGGAAGAGAGTCGCGGTCCCTCTCATGCCATGCGCCGTGTCCAGTCGCAAGCTCGATAGCTCGTATACGGTCCCAATTTTCGAACGCAGTTCTCTCAATCCAACGGACCATTTGTACAGCGCATACGAAAGAGCAGAAGCGCATATCGTTCACAAGATCCTTGTGGTGCTCGATAGTCTGTATAAAGCCCTTCAAGATCTGCTGAGGATACTGGTTTTGCTCTCGTAGGATGAGCATCGCTTTTGTGATGGTTTCATGGGGGTCGCAAGTCCACAACATCGTATACGACACGGTGTGTAGGTAGTATGTATAATGTGCGCTACCTTGCTTCCGTTGCGAAAAGAATCCGTATGTTTCTGATAGTATCATGTTGAGCCAGTACGGATCAAATCCGAAATCGTCAAAGATGTAAAGGAACGTTTGCTGGTTGCTGGAAAAGACTCCGTCATGATCACGCTCCAAGCTTATTAGCCTCATCGATGCTGTTGGTTTCTCGTTGCCGTGGTTGGAAATGGGTGCATTGATCTGGTCGCAGATTTTCGAAGTCTGGGAGCAATGAGTTTCTGTCAGTTGGACAACTGTCTCTCCTTTCGTCCATTTGGCCACAGTCAAAAGCGAGATCTCGTTGTCGGTTGCTTCGAGTTGATCCTCAAATCTCTGCTCTGCCAGAAATCGCTCCCGCGCTTCCGTTCGTAAGCCGTTCATATAGGTGTCTCTTCGTTCTTAGCTGGAAAGGCAAATAGATTGTAGTAGGGTGGATTGATCAAGAAACAGAAGGTTGAGGGTTATGTAGGCGGCCTGATAGGGCAGCTGAATCGCGATAACATTGCGGCTGAGTTGTTGCACTGCTTCGGGCTTCAGCCTTCGTCTCAACAATTCTTCCTTTTTACCTCTATACGGCGAGCTGACCTTTCGTCGTCTTATGCGCGCATCAGAGCACCATATGTTTCGAAGCTTTCTCAAAAGCGAGCGCGGTACAAGTGAAGATTAGCCTGACTACATAGCATGGGTGGATTACCTTCGGCAGGCCAGCGGAATATTTCCGACATCTCCACGCGTTCTTCCTGCGCGTCGCATTCCATCCGCGATGTTCTCAAATCATCTCGTCCTGCATGACGCAGCATATCGTCAACGCGACTTCACGCCAAGTCGCCATGCAACAGCCCGACGCCGAACTGACAGGACTCGTGCAGATGCGATCGGAACGAGTCGAGAGCACTTGATCTCGGGTTCTACCGCATCCCCACCTCTTGAGGGTCGATCAGCTCCGGCTCAGGCCCAGCTCTTCATTGGATGAGTCATCGTATAGCATGCGACACGTTCTAACCCAGGCTGCTCTCAATACTCCGGCGCCGCCGAGATTGTTCTGAGGGTGTCGGTCACGGCAATTGCAATATAGATTGCTCTGCCTTGCTTCCGAATGGTTCCTCGATTCATTGGAAACGCCACGACTTGGTTGGGAAAAGGCGTCTGCGCGCGACTATTGGCCAGCTATCTCGGACCTACCAAGGCTCCGCGACGCGCGCGAACTGCTTGCAGCAAGGCGTCGAGGCGGAGCGTGTGTCTCGCGAACGCCGTCTGTGCTAAGGACGTGCAAAAGCAGGAACAGCACACTCCCGCGGCCGTGCAACCCTTGGAGGCGATGATGAGGAATGGCTGAAACCTTGCGAGGCATCGCAGCCAGCATTCACAGCTCGCTTGCGGCGGTGGGGCGCTCTCGCACCAATGACGTCGCTGATGGGCCGATAAGGATAAGGAACCCAACATGTTGCAGCGCTCGGCTGGTCAGGCGGTCATCATCATGCAGCTAACCTGCACCATCATGCACCATGCTGCAGCTAGCAATGCCCATCACCCTCGCAGCATGGCCGAACTCTGCACCCAGGATCGTCCCGCAACCGTCCCGCCGCTCTTCTGTACAGCACAGGTGCCACGTAGCAGCGACGCAGGTACGCACAGAAGCCGCACACAAAGAAGCATAAACGTCGCGGGCAGATCGCTGCAGCTTATAAGACTGACAGCCGGCCCTGCGCTGGTGTTCCAGTGTTCTACACTCCATTTCACTGCAGACCGACATCTGCAGTGCGCCAGACAATGAGGCGATCAGCTGGAGCCCGAGGTGTCATGTGGCCCAGTAAGCCACTGTGTGCAAACTTACGAATCAGTCACTTTCTCGCACACCATCAAGTGGGCTGTGCCCTGATTGGAGCGCAAACCCTCGATACAAGGTACTTTGACTGAATCCTTTCTTGATTTAGCTTATGGCCATGCGTCTATTGGAATTTGGCCTCCACGCCGCGACTGCGGTGCACTTGCTCCCTTGCCCGGCCGGAACACTCTTTGTCTTCACATGATATCATAATTCTCTATCCGCTTCTCTCAAGTCTCCTTCCCTTGAAACGCTAGATTGTTCCTGTCTATTGGCTTGTGTCGCGCGTCTTAAGTATCACCCGCGTCCCCCATCGTCGAATTTAGCTTTCCGAACTTCGGCATCTGCATGCATGCAGTCATCACCTCTTCAGAACCTGGATACTGGACTTGAACCTTAGGCGCATAGCGATCCGAGACTTGTATCTTGATCGCCATGTGTTGGTCCTTCAACTTTGGCTTTCCAGGCAACAAAAAGCGTAAGGACTCGTCGTCGTCGGACGAGAAGAAGAGGCGGGACCGACCGGCGGATAGCGCGCTTCATGGAGTGGGAAGGCCAGTCGCTGCAGAATATTCCGAGAAGCGCAGTTCAAAAGATTCGAGCAGAAGGAGAAGATCTGGTGACTCTACCCCGCGATCTCCGCGGTCACCGCGCCACGAGAGAGAGAGGGAGGAGCACCGACCGCGATCGCAACACCAGTACGAAGATGCATACCGAACTCGCGAGAGACGCCGCTCCACACTGGACGTCGAAGTACCGCAAGTCTATCGCCGTGCAGCTGAGCCAAGTAGCGTCAACTCATCACAAGAGGCTCTGCTGAATCCACGCCCCCACCGAAGTCAACACCGCCGGCGGCAGCACCCAAAGCAAACGTCGCAAAGCACTCTGCGCGGGCGCGGAGCAAAGCGCGACCCTGTAAGACATTCAAAATCCAAGAAAAACGTCCGACCAGAACCTTCTCGGGGGTGGTCACTCTTTGCGCCCTCCCCGCCAAAGACACCCAAGCGCGAACATCGCAGCTACCAGACCTTGGATTCTTCGCCCCGTAGCAACCGCTCATCCCGCCAGCATCGCTCCTCGACTGCTTCTCAGACAAGCCCAGAATCATCTCGGTCTCAAAACCGCCACCACCGTTCTCGTCAGCACGACCAGTCAGCTTCTTCTCCGCGCCAAGCGCGCTCTCGCACCCCAAACACAACTGCTCGTCGCGTTCCTGACCGACGGTTCGCCGTACTCGCTGCCACCAACCAGGCGCTTGAGGAAGTCCGACAAGAAGCATTTGCGCAACCCTCTCCACCCCCGCGCCGAGAAAGACTGCGACGGTATGAGGGTGTTACTATCCCGACGTCGCAGATACCTTTCAATTGGGATTGCGTAAGCAGCTCGCAGGCCTCAGCTAGACCAAGCAATCGGAGTGGCGATTCGAGTGGCCGGAGACGGTCGCGTCGTTGATGTGTTCATTCATGAGCATTGCATCTCGCATCTCACTCAAGCACCTGGCCAATGCGGTCCCGGCAGACCCGGCAACAGACAGACCAGTGGCGCATTGTCGCACGTTGTGTAGCGACTATTTCCTTTTCTTCTCCGCATGTTCTCGATAGTCTTGTAGTAAGATACCCCCGGCATATCATCGGTAGTTTTGGGCGTTCGCATCACATCATTCGGCCCCGGCCCAGCACAGTCCATTTGGCGTTTTTTTGGCAACACAACACAATACCCCTGCATCACATATTCTCGCATCGCATGTAGTTCCCATCGTTGTAATAGTAGAACACATATCTTCGCATTTTGAAAATCATCTTTGTTCTGCATTGCGCTTACCCTTCATTGGTGAAGTAATCGAGATGCCCTCGTGATTCACCGAAGCACCTGCACAGAATGCCACCACGTGACGTCTTCGCGCCCGAACAGCCCTGAAGGTCCGCTACATCCCCCATGAGTTGAGCACGTTGCAAGGCTCATATACACGCAAAAATACGTTCATATGTAAATCCAGCCATTGATAAGCTCATCACCCACCATCGCAGTATGGCCACCAACAACACCCCATACCCCATTTACCACAACTTCCACCTCTCCCTCCATCCACCACTACCCCCTGCCCTCTATACCAATCCCCCCCGCTCATTGGCCACGGAGCATCTTCCTCAGTAACTCACACCCCCATCCCCTTGCTATCTCATCACCTACTATACTAGGCAACTTCGGCGTGAAGTTCCATTCAACGGATCGGCAAGCGCGTGATTCAATTGTCAAAGGATGCGGTTGTGGTGGAAAGATGCGGAATTGGGTAATGGTAATATGCTGGTGTTCGGGGAATTTCACCGAGGTACAGGACGGGTATTTTGTGGAGCCGGGGCTTGGCGGTGGGGCGGGCATTCCAGGGGGGAGCTCGAGCACGAGACCTGTCTTCTGGACTTCCTTGTCACATCAGTTTGCGACGCGATCCACGTTTACGCTTTTATTGTGGTTTTGGCTGCGCATTTTTCGACAGGAGTTGGATGACTGGATACATGCCAAAACACCCACGAGGCTCATTGCATGTCCACCTCGCCGGCCCCTTGGGATCTCCTCACCACCACGATGTCGCGATCAATGCCTACGATGTCGCGACCAATGCCTGTTGTCGGTCCATGAGCCGGCAGCGTTCGTTACCAGGGCCTTCAACTCATCGAGGAACTTCTCCAACACATTCGCATTGTGCTGCGCAATGCCGGCGTGCCACTGTGGGTAGTTCTTCCCCTCTACGACCGTGTTACCCTGCCTGTTCGTGAACATTTTGTAATCGCGGTGGATAAGAGTGTTCGTCGCTGGGTGCAGGAGGTAGAAAGTATTGTCATCCACCGCCTCTCGTTTTGGGTCTCCGACTGCAGTATTCGCCTTCTTCTTCTTGGATTTGAGACCACAGTTGACCATGTGGATGGCGTAGCCCTTGGGAAACTGGGAGACCTCAACGCTGGCTTTGGAAACTTTTAGCGACGTTTGAAGACACGGGATCTAGTACGACTTACATTGGTCGCTGAACCTGAACGGCTTACCGGAGACTTTGGGCTTCTCTTCCAGCATGCGATTCCAGTCTGGTGCGTGGTTGAAGCGGACGGGGAAGAGCTTGCCCTCTTTGATGATGAGGTAGTATGATCTTGTGCCGTGCCGACGGACGCATACCTTTGTGGTCTCGATCTCGTCGTTTTCCTCTTCACTGGGCTCTGCTACGTCTTCGTCAGCGATGAAAGAATGAGGTGCTCGCGCTGTCTTACCTTCAGCCTCTTCGGCCTCTTCAGCCTCTTCAGCCTCTTCAGCCTCTTCGGCCTCTCCAGCTTCCTCCTCATCCTCCTCTGGAACCTCTACCATGGGCGTGAAAAGCTGCCAAGGTATCATCCTGTATCGAAGCTTGGGATTTTGGAAGGCATCGTTGTCCTTGGTATAGTTGAGAACCCTCCCGTAAAAGTCGCCCATAGGGTAGACATGCAAACGGCGTTCCTCTTTTCCGAGCGGCTGACTCAAGATCGTCACGCCCACATAGAGTTCCTCTTCGATGACCAGGAGGTTGTGTACGCGTAGGCCATCTGTGCCCGACAAGTCCACTGTCTCATGATCGACTTTACCCGGAAACTCCCATAGAGAGTCCCAGACCACGTACGACGGGGCTCCTCCGGTGTCTGCAGAGTCCTCTTGCAAGACTGCAATACGTACCTGGCTCTCTGCGAAATCGGTCTTGAGGTACACTCCTGGAATGTCAAGCTCATAGTACATTTCTGCCATCTTGTTGTCGTATTGTCTAAGGTGACTGAGCTATTGAAGAACTGTGACAGCCTGGGTTGAGGCGCCGTTCTATATGGTCGGCCTTATGGTGAGTTTGATGATAGCACACATGCGCCAGGTCAAGCTGACCCCAGTAATTGATCACTTGGATCATAGCAAGCGGTCTTCAGATGTCGCGACATCAGCGCACGATGCGCTCCATACGTTCTTGGCACCGTCGTCTCGCCTCGCGCTTGATCAGATATCCACAACATATCATAGCGCATACTTCGCCCTCGGTTTTGTGCAATTTGGCATCTTCCATTCGGTACGCACGATTGACTACCCACAATCGTTCTGGCCCACCAGCTATATTGCGAAGGCAAGAGACAATAAGTTAATCACTCAGGACTTCCATTGTGTCAATAATGAGATGGACTACTGGTCATAATCTGCCCCTTCTGATGAGATGTAGACACCTAAACTACGTCACAAGTGCGAACACCATGACGTATCTTCTTTGTCGACGTTCCTTCTACCCGTTACTGACGTTCGGCGTTATTTCTAGTTGGTGGCCGTACAGCATTGGCTTCGCTCCTGTCCTCGAACCAATGCTTCGGTACCCAACAGCCACACTCTCGCATATCGTCCAACGTCCCATTTGTCCCTTCCACGCCCTCCATGATCATACGATGGTGAAACTTCATAGGGGAAACGTGCAGTCGTGTTCGAAAACCATCTTCCCGTTGAATCAAGACGGTGAGATCATCTTTGATCTCGTCCTCCATAATCAGGACACCATGAAGTAGGATCCCAGCTTGCCAAGGTATCTCTATCCTGTGATCGTAGGCTATCTGGTCCTCATCTTCCATCCATGTGGAGTCCCAGAGGACGAGGTTATTAGTAATGTTCGAGGGGACATATTCCGTGTTAGACCGTTGTACGTCTTCGCGCACGATCGTAAACCGGGACGGATTAGGCAAGGTGGCTGCTCTTATGTAGACCCCGGGCGCCCTTTTGATCTTGTAGTACCAACGTTCTCCTCCGTCATACGTGTGTTCAAATTCGCGAAATGCTGACTGAAGCTTCCAGAAGGCTGCTCGATCCTTTGCTTTCTTTTCCAACTCGTCGTCGTCCATGGTGGTTGAGATATGACAATGGAGTGACTGTCGTGGCTCGACGTCTAGCAGTGTTATAACTTGGTCAACGCGAGAAGTTTGCGCATAGCACACTCATACCATCCAGAATGACCTTCGCGCCTGTCACGCTTGATCTGCCAGCAAGCACTCACTGCATGTCAAAGGTGCCAACTACTGTCATTCGAGACCTGGTGTCACGAGCCGCCGCGCCGGCGATATGCCAATACCACCCTCGTGGCGTGGAATAGCATGGTGACTTCCTGCATATACTGGTCGCAAGCCTTTTCAATCTTATCCTGGATCTGCAGTCCAGCACTACAATCTGCTGACGTAGCTGGTTTTACAGAACACCAACCTGCTTTCATTACAATGAAGTCTGGTTTCCGGGGCTGGCACGCGCAAACACCAAAGCCTAGCCCGACATCATCCGCGCCGCCTTGGATGATGAAGACCTGGCCGTAAAAGCAGTCTAGGCCCCAAGGGCCTACTGCGATATTGAGTGAATCCTATCAGACGCCAAGGTCTACATGGACGCGCGCCGTCTCTTCATGCCGCATCGCAAGTGTCTTCTTCGTCTACTGTACTCTACTCACTACCTCCATCGCCACCTTCCAAAGCAGCTTCCCCACCATCCTCCTCCTCACCGCTCTCCTCACCTTCCTCGTCAATTTCCTCCTTGTCTTCTGCGTCAATGTCATCAAGCTCTCCATCACTCTGCGTGTACATCCATATCCGTCCTTCCCCGATAATCTTCTCTAGCTTATCCATAAACCTCGGAAACATGACCACATTGTGTTTCGCATAGTCTTCGTTGTGCATACCCTGCGCCCTACCATTGTACTTTCCTTCCCACGTGTCGTGCTTGCACGGAGCATGCCAACGATCAAAGGGTAGATGCAGGTGAAACTCTTTCCACTTGATCGTTGTTCTGCTGCTCTTCGTGCTCTTACCTTTGAAGATTTTCCCTTCTATAGGGCCGCCTCTGATCTGTGTAGTATGGCCGCAATTGTTGAGACGCAGGGTATATCCGTGTTTGAAGGCGTAGTATTCGATATGAAAGGGCTCATCGGTATCGTCTTGCTGCTGAAGATCGACGGATCTGTTCTTGCCTAGCTGCATCTTTGGTGCGCTCGGGTCTTGTAAGTCGAGGATCAGAGTGACCCAGCTTGCATTGTGCTCGTGAACATAAAGGAATAACGCTGGTATACTGTTAGCTTTGTCTTGCCAGCTTGCTGATGCGGTATAGAGTACTTACGGTCATCCAAACCTGAAGCTGCAATACCGATGCTGCCGGACACTGAGTCGCCAGTGACTATCGGATTAACGTTATCGCCCACTCTAGCTGCCGGAATAGGCCTCTTGAAGTCCTCTTCAGTCAGCCGCGCCGGATCGTGTGCCTTCGCGTACTCTTGAACAAACTCAAGACGCGCGCTTTTAGGCTCGGATCGCATAATGCTAGGTATACCCTTGACCGGGGCATGATAGACTGTAATCGGTTGACTCAACTTCTCGTAATCGGTTACAACGCCCAGGGCAGAATGAGCCGCGTTCCGGGCTACCTCCACTGTCATCTCAGCGAATGGCCGGGTCTGGTCCCATGAAGAGTCCCACACTAAGAAGTCCTCGCTACCGGCATGTCTGATCACCGTGGTGCGGCCGTGGACGTTTGCTGGGTTCATCGTGATGTAGAGTCCGGCGATGTTGTCATGTAGCCAGTACTCATCTTTGGCGCCTTCTTCTGGGCCTTTTGTTTTGGCATCTTGAGTGGTATCCGGTTCGGTGGTCTGACGTTCGGCGGTAATATGTTCGGCGGTTCGATGCTCGGCATCCTCGTGCTCGATAGTGTTTTGTTCGGGGTTCTCCATACTGATAGGGTAAATTCTGGTTGGGGCGAACTGACCAGCATGAACTAGGCGACAAGGCGAGCCTCTTATGTCGTGAGTACGGCGCACAGCTTGCACAAACCTGCTTTTCAGCTTGGATATGATTGCGATAGTCTTACCAGTACAAACAATTGCAAAGGCCGTATGTTCAAACCTACTGTTCTAGCAGATCTTCTCCCTCTTTCTCAACCTGTTCAACATCTCCATCACTGTCTTCCTACTCCGCATCTTCATCTACCAACTCATCCCCAACTTTCTTGCACTTCTTCATGTTCTCCACTCCCACAATCCTCTCCAATGCATCCATAAACCGGGGAAAGACACCAGCGTTGTATGCCGCCTGCTGTGGGCTATGCGGACCATATGACCTTCTCTCACGACCAGTCATGACTTCATGAGAGAAACATGCATGCCATAGGTTCTGCGGGAGATGAACATGGTATTCCTTGTATTCATGCCACGTTTGATCATCTTTCGGGCCGGTTATGGTGTGGTAGCCGCAGTCGACAAAGCGGAGGGTGAGGCCTTCTTTGAAGGGGTAGCATTTGACGACGATTGGGTTTCGACCACCCCTGCCTCTGAGATGAATGGCTTTCCGGTTTGAGTTGCCTTTTGTGGGGCTGAGGTCTAGTATCGCTGTTTCTTCGTTGAGGGTAAGGATTGCGTGGCTCGTATGGTGCTCGTGTACGTGAAGGAATAGCGCTGCGCATGGTTAGTTCCTGACCGTCATGTTATGTATGTACTCCAGTCTACTCACGGTTGTCCGTATCTACAGGCTCAGTGATAGCGGGTGTAGAGGCAATTTCTCCTTCTTCGTCGTAGTCTTTCTCTTCACGTTTCTTGTTCACTGGGCGTGGTGGAATGGGATTATGAAACACAGCCGGAGACACCTTCGCTGGGTCATTAACCCTCGCGTACTCCTGAATGAACTTATCATGTTCGTGAACGGACTCGTCATGTACACTATGGATGATAGTTATCGTCTGGTCCAGCTCGTCGGTCGCAATTATGGCGCCGCTGGAAAGAACGCTGCTTGAAAATGCAGGCTTCTCCGTATCGCCGAGGACATGTTGTATTGAATTCCCTGAAGAGTCCCAGACGAGATAGACGTCTCCGGTGTGCCTGTCGTGTTTGACTACAGTGGTCTGGCCAGAGGGTTCTTCCGGCGGGGAAGTGATGTAGAGTCCTGAGATACCATGCTGAAAGAAGTCTTCAGAGGCGGTCACGTCTGATTGTTGTTTGGTCAGTTCGGGATTCTCTTCGGTGTGATCAGTTGGGTGTTTGGTGTCCATATCGACGTTGGCGATAATGATCGAAGTGGTAGGAGCAGCATCGCCTCTTGAGAAGACGAGCGTTATGTATTGCCGTCACGCTGAGAAGCTTGCTACGGTCACTCTTGACACTTGAGTATGTTTGCTGTCTATCAGTAGAGAGCCTAATGACGGACGACAAACACTCGATGACATTGGTGATCATCTTCCCCGCCAGTGTGAAGGACGCGATGTCGCGTTCGATCGTCGCGAAGCTCATGAAAGCAACGAGCGAGATTCACAATGCTGCGAACTGTGCCTACAGCGTAATGTCGACCGTGGTATCAAAGTCGCAACGTTGTCTCACCCAGGTGCAGCGTTCCATTCCGTTTCCGAGCGGAACAATGACGCCCGCCACTAACCCTCTTCAGGCAACGCGTGACACCGCATTCGCGCTCCTCCTGCGTGCTCTCGGTCGGTGTCTACTCCGACGCACATGAGCAAGGATGAGTCGATTAACTGCCAACATAAGAGCATTCCGTCGGATAATTTCGCGCGTGTAAGCGCTAGGAAAGGGCGTAAGGCTACTACCATCACGCAGGCCTGACCTTTTGGTATCTACATAAGTGTGTTGGAGGGCGCCTGCCTAGGTAGCTCAATGCCAGCGACGTCACAGCCCTCATCTTGCGCATGCCTCGACGTTAAGGACTTTAACCACAACAATCGCAAACATGGCGTCGCAAAAAGCAGAGTTCATCAAAGTGCCCACCGATAACTCAGATGGCTTCCAGACAATGCCCGTAGAGCCCTCGAGACGGCTGTCAGAATCGGAATTGCGGATCGAGAAGTGCACACCGGATGATGCTGAGAAGATCGTGAGTTCCTCCATCAACCTTCACCCAGGTTTTCGAACCTACTCAATATCTTTCACTCACAAACCCCATCATACTAACACCCCCACCCAGGCAGAAGGCCTCTACCTCTGCTTCCCAGAAGACTGGTGGGCCAAAAAGGAACCCCCAGAACTCCGACCCGCCGGCCCAAACAGCCTCGCCATCCGTATCCAACGCATGGCCCAACGACTAACCCCCGCCATCACCGATCCCCACCATTGCTTCATGAAAGCCGTCTACACCCCCACGGGCTCAACAATCGGAATAGCAGGCTGGACTCTCCCCACCAACCCCTCGGTGCACAACCTCTTCCGCCGCAGCGCCGCCACGCATTACTCCTGGGCCGAACAGCAAAACTGGACCGACGCCGATCTCGATCTCATGTGGTCGCACGTCTCCTCCGAGAACTGGAGTGAGCGTTTTGCTAAAGATGATGAGGTAAGGAGGGAGGCGACGGGCGGGGAAAGGCATTGGTATCTTGCGCCGTTGCTTACGTGGCCGGAGTGGCAAGGACGGGGTGTGGGGAAGAAGTTGATGGAGTGGGCGTTGGGGCAGGCGGATGAGAGGGGGGAGGTTGTGTATTTGGAGAGTAGGCCGAGTGCTAGGGCGGTGTATTTGCATTTGGGGTTTGTGGGGTGTGGGGAGTGGAATATGATTAGGTGGCCGAAGGGGAGGGAGGGGGAAAAGGGGGAGGTGGAGGTTGCGACTAGGGGTGTGGACGCCGAGGGTGCGATATGAGCCGACTCCTGCGTGATGAGATGAGATGACAGACGAAGCCGCGGGAAGGATACCGTATGAATCACATATGTCACTGTGCAAACCGTGCAGATAGCTAAGCAGCACCAGGACTAATGAAAAAGAAGTAGTCATTTGACGTACTCCATAACCTTACTATCTATCGAACTTCGCTTGTAGGGCGTAGTAGCCTCCTCGTCCTATACGTTGTTCCTCCATCCTATCTCGATACGCAACAGCAGCCTTAATCCTCTCCGCCTCTTCGCTTAGCCTCTATACACGTTATACACACTTTAAACGCTTTATCTATAATATAAATATTTATATATTTTATTATCTATTATCTATCTAATATTATATTCTTAGTACTATTCTTTAAGTAGCTTTATATATTTATCTAAATTAGTACTTATACGTTATATAAAGTAAGTATATAGTTTATTTTTCTTTAGCGTTTAATATTACTAGTAAAAGATACTTAATATATAAACTACTACTTTTTTAGAGTAAGCTAGTATATAAAAAGTATTATTCTTATTAGTAGCTTATATACTATTACCTACTTATTTTAGATAAAGGCTTAAGCTACTAGTATAAGTTTTAAGTAAACGTTAGTAGAACTTATATAAGATATAGTAAGTACTTACTTTATTAAGTATTTATATAGTAAGTATATATTTTTAAGTTATATAGAAGCTTTATATATATTTTTTAGTAAGAGAGATACTAGAGTACTTATAAAATAGCTAATTACTTAAAAGTAGTATTTTTAGCTAAAGAAGTAGTAGTAATAATATTAAAGAAAATAGTAAAAGTAATTATTTTATTAGCAAACTAATAATTCTATAGTAAGCTAGTTTAAAAAGAGTAAGATCTATTACTAGTATATAAAAAGACGTATTTCTAAAAGAGTTAAAATTCTATGTTTAGAGGTACAAGCGTTAAGTAAGCTAAAGCTTAGGTTCTTAGCGCTACTACCTTTAGCGTAGTAGTTAAAGCTTTTAAAATTTAAAGTAGTAAGGTAACTATTTTATAAATACTAATATCTACTTATACTATAGTAGAGAGAATTATAATATAATTATATATTCTTAATAGCTTATAACTAACTAAGCTATAAATTATAAAGTAATAAAATACTAAAATTTTTAGCTAGCAAAATTATGCTTCTACTATATATACACTCTCTATTCTCTATCTCTATCTCTATCTCTATTCTTATTTTATAGCTTATAGTAAATTAGAGATCTAAAAACTTATTAAAGTAAATAGTAGCTTAAATTTAACTCTAAAGCTATACTAATACGTATACTAAATAAGCTCTTAACTATATCTTCTCTTATACCTCTTTGTAAGTTCTTCTAGTGTTAGTAAGTCTAAAGCTAATCTTATTACTAGTTATATTACCTTACTACCTTACTAAAGCTTAATTAAGCCTTTTTATTATTACTATATTAATTACTTTTCTCTTAAACGCGTTACTATTACTACTTTTATAAGTTCTCTTAAAGTTATTATTTTAGAAGCTATTATAGAGACTATTATAAACTACTTTATTTATACTATACTAAAGGCTATTATAAGTGCTCTAAAGAGCTACTTTACTAGTATAGAGCTATACGCTAAGCCTATTAATATTTCTATTATATCTATTTCTATTATACTTATTTTTTTTACTTCTATTTCTATTATTTCTATTACGTATATAACTAGCGTAAAACTTTCTATTATTCTTTCTTCTAGCCTTACTTTTAAGAAGCTTATTAGTAAAATATATAAGCTCTTTAGTAAATATAGCCTACCTTTAAAGTAATAAGAAGAGTATTTTATTTATAATCTTACTAAAATATACTTAATTACCTATACTATTTATATCTATAACTAAGTATATAAAGTAAGATTAATATTAAGCTTATAGCTTTCTTTAGCTCTTAAGAATACTATACTTTAGTAAAGAAACGCTTTAGCTAAAATACTTTATAAGAGTAATAAAAGCTAGAATAATAAAGATATAGTATTTATAGCTTATTTTATATAGCAAGATACTATTTATTAGATAGTAGCTATAGTAGACTACTATAAGTTCTATTAAGACCTAGACTATAAAAGAATAGTTATTACGTTATAGTTATTAGAGAATACGTACTATAAAGCTATTATAGTATTTCTATTACTACTATATTATATAGTTCTTAATTACTACTTAAGCTTAGAAGTATATAAATATATATAGTTATAGTCTATATAAGTATTAGTGCTAATAGTAATATACACTAAATGTCTTAAAATCTTAAAATCTTCTAGCTATTCTAAGATAATAGCTAGGCGTCTTTTAATATCTTTTTACTAAATAAAGTCTGTAAAATTAGGTACAAGGTACTAGCAAAAGTAATTATAGCTATAGTTAGGTTATTTAGGTTCTAGATAAAGAGAGTAATAAACTAAGAAGTAAGACGTACTATATTATATATAAAAGAGAAAGAAGAGTTATAAAGATAAAGCTTTTATACTCTTCTTTAACTTATATAGTATATACAAAAATCTTAAACTCTAGTTCTATTTTATTTTATTCTATAGTACTATAATAACTTATTAATAATAAGCTACTTATAACTTCTATAATACATATAAGATACATAATAACTAAATCTACCTATTAAATATAGAAGGGATGTGAAAGAGGTCGCTTAGCCTCTTCCTCAAACAAGAAATCACATCGATCGCTAGTTGGCCCTCGCCACCCAGCGCCTTCTGGAACGCAAGTTGCAGCTCCAGGTGTTGGATCTGAGCCATGATGTAACCCAATACCTCCTCTCGTAGGGGATCACGCTTCAAAGAGGTATCGTGGTCCTGGGTGTTGTCGCTGTTGTAGACAAAGGAAGCCAGGGCGACGATATCTTCGACCCGCTGCGGGGTTGTTACGAACTTTTCTTCCATGCATAGTTGTAGTGCGACGTGGAGTTTGGATTTGGCGAGTTCCTTCAGTGCGGGGATGAGGTAGTAGTCAGCGAGGCAATACATCTTGGCGTGGAAGAGGAAGACGTCCTTGTGTCTGTAATTTACACGACCAACATGTTGCTCTTTCATGTGCGGGGCGACTTTGTCCCAGTCTTCTCCATAATAACATGGACATTCATCCTTGACGACAAAGCGCTCATAGGGCGTTGGGTAAAAATGTGGCATATGCCACATGTGTTCAGGAGTGGTTGCTTTGGCATAATCTTCTTCGCTTATTGTAGGAACCCAATTGTCCAAGATCTCGCGCGATCTAGCCTCCATGTCGACTTCGATATGGGGGTCAATTTCGCAGGGAAGGACGTTGTAGTCATTGCGGTATGCGTATTCGACGACACCCAGAAAGACCTCGCGATCGACATGGGGCAGAGCGGCGCACTTCTCCTGCGCTTCCTTCATTGGGCCGTTGATAAGGCGGTCTAGGGGCTCAGATACCTGTGACATGATGCCGGCATGGACGGTGACGGACTCGCGGGTGTCTCCTAGGAGGAACGTGAACTGCGCGGAAGATAACTTCCTGGAATGTGTTAGCAAGATGTCAAGAATGTTGCAATGTGATATACTTACTCTGTGAATGAGGGTGCCATTGTGTTCGAGGCTTCCGTAAGTCTAGCGGTTGTACGTGACGAGTTGAGAAGTTGTATGTGTAGGTAAAGGTAGAATTGGTGCCGCGATTTGTAGGCAGCGTGGCGATACGCAGAGGACTGCGCCCCTTGCCAACTTTGGAGTGACGACAAGGTAGGCACAGACTCGCCGTAGCCGCGGTCAATTAGGCCTGTAAAGCCATTGGATCAGTGAAAGTATAAGAGGTTTGCAAGTACACAGACTCTCGAAGAAGTTCTTGTACAGTGCAATCCAGGCTGTGAAGCGGTACTGGAAGTGTGAAGTCGACACTTCCTGTTCACTCGACACTCCATTGACGAAAGGCCGGGTGAAAGGCATTGTTGGAAGCTGTATGTTGTGCACGTCGCTGATATAATGACACCCTCCGAGAGCGACAACCTGGAAACGTGCTTCCGTACCTTCAACCGCATATCTCTTAACTCTTCAATCCAAATCGACTACGCACACTTGCAAATCCTTGAATAACAATAGTATCGTACCTGACGGCATGGAGATGTCGGGCAACAGGCCTTCGAGCACCGCTCTTGAATCAACGAACGCGCACTCCTCACACACGAAGACCTCAAGCATCCCGAAACCCAAAAGCTTCCTAGATCTTCCCGGTGGTAGGTGATGACGATGAGCTTGCCGGCACTTTGCTAATCACTGTTCCAGAACTACGTAACCGGATCTATGGTTACTGCCTCTCAGGCGTCGGACTGTCGACAGCGCTCGGTTTGGGCCATGTATGCCGAACCACTCGGTCGGAGTACATGCCTTTGTACTTTGGCTCGGTCAGGACTCGTATCCACTTTGTGCTAGTAGAACGCTTCCTCCGGACATTCTATAGTGAGACGTCGGCCTTTGCTCCACTTCCTGCTTGTAAGCTACTCGTCGGACTCAGTCGCGATCACGGCTGGGGACCAAACACCAGTATCGACCTTAAATGGCTAGGCGAGTGGCTGCGTGGTCACCCCAAGGCCGAGGTCTTTATTGAGAACAGGCCGATCAGTCTTTTTGAGGCGATTAATCATGTGCCGTCACTCTTGGGATTATGGTTGTGGCTTAAAGATATGGATGCTCTTACCCTATGCGCACAGCCAGTGTCCTGTCATGCTCGGTCTGGTGTGCGTAGGCACGCGATTGATTGGGTGTTGACATTAGTGATGAAGCCAGAGGCTGCGCGCCGCATAAGGTGTTGCAATCGGAACCGGGTGGATTACTTTGGAGGGATCTTGACGCGTCTGCGTCTTCGGGGTGGGATTGATGGAGAAAAGATTAGCTCGGTTGAGTTCCGGGTGTCTGGCGGGGGTGAAGATTGGCAGGTCAAGATGGCTATTTAGAAGGCGTGGTGAGTACCGATGACTAGGACAAAAGATAGGACAAAAGATAGCGTCATGGGCTGAAATCGGAGTTGGTGTTATCATGATACTCCCAAGGTTTGATGTGGTGATGTCGGAAAGAGACGTTCGAGGCCGCCCGCGGAGGCGCGCATAGAACGGCCGGCTAGCCGGATTGGAGCTGGGACTAGCGCCAATTTGCGCGCGCCAGGCCCGCTCATGCAAACATGACGGACTCAGTCTCGCACCACCACCACCATGAGGGTGCGATTGACGCCGTTGCGCCTCTTGTGCGTCGCCATAACCCTCGTGACCTTCCTCTTCACCTCCCTCGTCTTCCGGCTATGGCGGGGCGAGCGCGGCTACGACATACTGCAGGAGCGGCCCCCTCCCGCTGGGCCCGCGCCCGTCGCTCCCGTGCACTTTGGTGAGGAGTGCTCGCCCTTCACCGCCGGCGTCATGGAGCGCGTCACCATTGTGCTCAAGATTGGCGCCGGGGAAGTCGCGACCCAGCTGCCGCTGTATCTCAACCGATTGGGAAGGTGCAAACAGGATCTGCTCATCTTCTCGGACCGCAAGGACTCGCTCAACGGCTTCGAGATTGCCGACGCCCTCGCCCACCTGCGCCCGGAGTACAAGTTCAACAACCCCGACTTCGACGTATACGACCGCATACAGGCCACGAACAGTACCCAGGACAAGACCGAGGAGGGGTGGCGGCTGGACAAGTACAAGTTTCTGCCCATGATGGAGTGGACGTCATACATGCGGCCCGAGTCGGAGTGGTATGTCTTCCTGGAACTCGACACCTACGTAAACTACGACAACCTCTACCGCTTCCTCTCCAACTTCAACCCCAAGACGGCCTACTATTTCGGATCCCCCGTTTGGCCCAAGAAGAAGACCACCTTCGCACATGGCGGGACCGGCTTCGTGCTATCGCGCGCGGCGCTGGACAAGATTATGGCGCTGGGCAGGATGTTTGGCGAGAACAAGCACTTCCCCGGGACACACTTCTTCGGCGTCGACGTCAAGAAGCAATGCTGCGGAGACGAGATGCTGGCGCAGGTGCTCAAGAAGAGCGGAGTCTCCCTCCGCGGATACTGGCCCATGTTCAACGGCGAGAAGCCGTTTAGCATGCGCTTTGACAATGAGCAGTGGTGCGAAGCCATCATGACGATGCACCACCTCGGCGAAGACGACTTCACACGACTGTCACAATGGGAACAAGGACGATCGCATCCCGAACGGCCGCTCATGTTCGAAGAGCTCTTCACAATGATCGAGCCACACTTGCAGGAGAGGGCCGAAGACTGGTCCAACATGTCCGAAGACGTCACATATCGAAAAGGCAAGACAGCCTCCAAGTCCTTTGACAAATGCCAACGGGCTTGCGCGAAAGATGGCCGCTGTCTCCAGTTCGAACACGACGGCATCGAATGCCGCCTCGGATACTCCATCCGATTAGGCCACCACCAGAGCCGCGAAGGCGAGCGCTCATGGGTGTCTGGGTGGATGCTAGGCAGGATAAAAGCTTTCAAGCAGGCTCGCTCACCTTGTCAGGGCGCACGTTTCGTTCATTCGAATCCTTGAGCGGGTTTATCGCGACGTAATGGACGACGATATGAACATCTTTCCTGCACGATTTTACGGCATTGTACGGCGTTTGATACCCCAAAGGCGTTTTTGAGATGGCACGCTATTGTATATATTGTGCAGGTTGTCGGCATATACGCCATGGGTTGGAGGGGTCATGGGTGGGTTGGCAGAGTCCTGCCGCAATGCGACGCAGAGTAATGGAGGAAAATCTGCGTCGAGACCCTGCGGCGCCACGATCGAGCCGGCATATGAGGATTTTGAAGGTCGGTCTTTGGACGCAACGTCGGCCACGTCTTACGAAAACCGGCATACACAGTGCGATCCCGTCGCACCTCAGATCGAATGATTGGGCAATTTCGGCACATCTTCGGTCTGGCACTACGCTTCATGTACACTCAAGACCTACTGCTCTTCCCGATACGGCAGAATGTAGATGACAGCCGGAAGTTATCGTGATGAGGAAACGAATTGGTATCGTAACTACTCGAGGATCATATACACCACAATAATAATCGACATTTGCAGTGACAAAGGTCTGCCGCATGCCGTCTATCATTTGACGATTGCTACTGACGTTGTGTATCATAGGGTGTGATCATGGGCAAGCGTCACGGGCGGTTTTAGCAAGCTTCGCACGAAGTATAGAGACCTCCTCGATGCGCCCTGTCTCATATTGACACATCACCACTTTCAGCTTCACGACAACGACATGCACGACAACAGCAGCGACATGCACGACAACGACAAAGGCATGCATGACAACGACAGTGCAAAAGTCAGAAGCGAAGGACTTGAGACCGTTGAAGACTTTGTTCAAAAGCTTCCAGGACTATACGTCGCCAAGGAAGATCTTGCCAAACCAATTCCTCCTTACAACCCTGGCTCAGGCGGGAAGGACGATGCGCGTCAGGAGATGCTTGCGAAATTTCCCATGGTAAAGAAAGCTGTTTCCAAGAACAAAAAGGGTGCTGCTCAAGATGAAGATCGCGCAGCAGCTCACGCGTCTGGAGTTGTCACTACATCAGGTGTTGATCCTGGAGGCCCCAACGACAGTAAGTATTCCGCAAGAAACTGCGATGTGTCTTTGAAACCACGACAACGCGCTAACCAAAATCTAGCACCGTTCCTCCATGTCTACGAGCACCATACAAGTTACGCAAAGCTGACATTTGACTCACCGAGCACCCTACGACTGCAACGCTCCAAGACGGATGCCGTCGACTCCATCATCTACCTGAAGGAATTAGATGGCGACGCGCCAGTGTACGTTGAGTACTACCGTTTCAAAAGAGGATACACGCTGCGTTTCAACGACTGCGGTGCGACGAAAGAGATAAAATGGAAGAAGACCGCCGCGGAAAAGGAGCTGATGAAGCGCAAGTCGAAGAAGAAGGACGAGAACACGCCTGTAGGCGACACCGAGAAGAAGAAGGAGAGTGTCTCATGGAACAAGGAGACGCATTACTGGAAAGAACTCCATGTTTACTTTCCACCCGACCGCTGGAACACTGGCTTTCACCACGAGGCTTGGACAGACGACTACAAAGTAGGATATGGCACGTACAATGAAGCGCAAGCAAAGCATAACGTACTCGCCTTCCCAGACTTCATGGACGAGCTGGATAAATGTTTCAAGGCTGAGAAGGTGGAACATACCAAGGTCGAGGAAATAGCCCGGAAAGATGGGAAAGTGAAGAGGCAAAGAAGAAAGAAGGAAAAGGCTGGCGTGAACCGGGAGCTTGAGGACGAAGAGGGGAACAGGGTGTTTATTTTGAGGCGGAGGAAGGAAGGGAAGAGGCTGGTTCCTGATATCAGTGTGAGGGTCTCGGAGGAGGAGGAGGGACGGATTGCAAGAGCGAGGGAGGATCAGAGGGTGCGAGAAGACGCTCTCCGCGCTGAGGAAGAGGCTGGAGAGGACGCTGTAAGAGAGGAATGGGAACCTACGGCTGAGGAGGAGAATCAGATGGAAACGGAAATGGTCATGGACTAGTAGAAGAGGCCACACGAGCAGGATGAGAATGTGTTGAGATTTTCAGGGATTGAGTGATTGAGATGATTCATCGAGCAAACTGTGAATGGTCCGCAGCTCGCAATCTTTTATTAAGAACATTCTTGTAGCACACTGTTCTGCCATCTGTGGTTTTTCTGCGTATAGCAACGCCACATGGTAATAGTCGGAGGGGCTCGAATACGCGTTACCCAAAGTAGCCTAGGTGCAGACGTCATCGTTCCGCTCGGAAACGCCCGGGAACTGAACGACGCACTTCAGCTGTGCACATGTCGCGACTTTTGTCGCGCCTTCACAGGGACGACCGAAATACAGATCACGGTGTCAGTGACCAGCACGTCAACGCCCCTGTTAGCATGAGCGATCGACATCCATGCCGCACGCGATGCCACGACGCAACGAGTACTGCGCAGAGACGTGCATCCGTCAGAGTGCTTAATGCTTCAGCTTAAGCATTTCCAAGGTTATGTTGTGGCATCGCGACTTCGTTGGTGCATGCGACGCAAGAGTGGTCCTTAATCCTAGTAACCTAAACAAGTCGCGACGCGCGAATGCTTCTCTACTGTTAAGTACGTCAACACAATACAGTTGCTGCTGCAGGGGCCGCCGGACCGCCGTTTTCACGAGCTGCGATGATCTTCTTGGGTAGCAGAGAAAGCTCGACGAAGGAAGAGTGTCATTATTCATGCCTATGTAATGCATCGTGGCGAGCGTCACAGCCTTGCTGGGTTGGAAAAGTGGGTTTTACCCAAGGTACCCTAGGTATGTACAAGAACGTAATGAAGTTTGCCCCCCTACTGGGAAGGCTCTACTGGCTCCCAGTGGTCATTCCAAAGGTGATCGAGGAGATCAGACCCATTGCCCGCGAACGAACGAGCACAGCCGCGGACGTGGAGTGGGCATTTCCAGCGAAAGCCCTCGGCACAATCCTCCATGTGGATGGCCGTGAAATGAGTTTCGAACCCGGTCTTCGAATCCCAGTATTTCCTGGGGCTTCCCTCATGAGGCTTGCACTTCCATCCGTTGCCTGGGCAGCCCCTTCGGACAATGGCTGGTTGTGCTGGCTCTTTGCCTTTGCGTGAGGCACGCTGTTTTTTGGAGGCTTGAGGCGGAGGGGTTGTCTCGTCAGAGGGTCCGGTCTTCGTGCTCGGGCGTGAGTCATCGATGGGTTCGCATGCGACATTCGGGGGCGGCTCGATGAACGGGTGGGCTGTAAGGTGCACTGAAAATCATTAGTGTCGTATCGTAGTATAAGCCAGATCTACTGACCGACGTGTAGGATCCTTCCAACAAGCTCCTCCACGGGGATCACCGCCATGATAGCGAGGTCTTGGAGATTACCAGACAACGCCGTGAACGCGAGCCCAACGAAATCGTTGGACCACACCATATACTTGAAGGTCTCGACATAGTGGAAGATGAACTCTAGAGTTGCGCCTCTCACCAAGAGAGCAAATATGGCCTGGTTCTGCTGAGCGAGGGAGGGGGAACCACGAGTTGCCATGATGGAGTCCGTGCCCTGGATTGACTCGTACCCGTACGGCGAGCCCAAGTACGATGGTGTGGGCGGTGTGGCCTGGTTCGAACCTTCGCCTGTGCTGGAGTCCATGTCCATGGTCGGGTTGTACTCCATTGCAGTGCCGGGAGACGGAGTCGTCGGGTTAGGGAAAGCCATGATGCCGGACGGAGACAAAGGAGGTTTACTTGACGGATGTGCGAGTTTCGGCGTATTGTATTCGACAAAGTTCGCGTAGGTTCTCGAGGAGTTAGGCGTGTCCAAGGGCAGGGAAGGAACGTGATGGTATGGATGAACGTAGGGTATAAATGTTAACGATAGTGAGCGAGAAGTTGAGTTGACAGGCCACCGGGGCAGTGGTAGAGAGATTGTAGAACGTATCAAAGGAGTGTGTTAGATCTCAAAGATTGCGAGAGATGCAGAGCAGGTCAGGATTTTGGGCTAGGTGCCGGCATTGAGGATCATATATACCTACAGGGCCTGTGGTGTTGTCCATGGCGGTTTCTGCGAGCTTTGCTATGATTTTCGGCGGGGAAGAGACGGAGAACAAGCGGTGATGGCAGTGGGTATGGATCGTAAGAAAGTAAGCTTCATTAGGCCAAGGCTTGACCCCTTCTGGGTAGGCATGTCGCTTGGATCAGCGCGCCACGATAAGAATCGACAGCGACGTCCGGCAACGTTGATGTCAGTCGGTGCCGGGCCCGTACCAGTACCACTGCGACGTCGCTAGCGAGGCATCCAGACCCCAGCTTTTGCAGGTGCTAGTCAAGCCCTTGTCCGCCGGCCGGGTAATCATTGAAGATCTGGGCCCACTTAGGAAGAACCGTGTTTGCAATTGCCATGTTCTGTGAGTCGGATTTCCCTGCCGCAAGCCCGACTATGGTACGCGTGGTGCTACTGTCGAGAGGCGTTGTTGGCGTCTTGTCACGACGCATCATCCCCTGGGCTAGAGCTCGGCGGACCTAGCAGTTGTCATGCGCCTGCGGGACCTGACTGAAATTATCGCTGCGCATCTCAGCATTGACTATCAACCTTAGTGAGCTATCCGTGAACGTGCGATAAGTTCGCTGTTAACCAGACTTTGCGAGGAAACTCGCGATGTAGCTCACTTTGTCGCAACTTGGACGTTTCCATCGTGGATACCACAGTCATGGTCGCAGCTATCGCTATGCTATGTAGCTATGTATAAGAGCTGTACGGCTACTTCTGGATTTGAAACCAGTCATCCCCATCTTCATCCAAACCACATTCACAAACTTCCTGTACGCAAAATGAGCTGCATCACGCCGCAAAACATGTCTTCTCTGCTACGAGACGCCAGATTCCCCATCTCGGTTATCGCCAATTGCACTGCGGCTGCTCCAGCTCTGGACCGCGAATGGCCCAACGGCGATACGTGGGTAACTCTCGCAGTGGGGGTTGTGGCAATCATCGTGGCGGTGCTCCAGCTATTATTTGCGACTCGGATCGCTGACGCGATCAGCCAATTGTAGGTTGACCTCGCTAGCAACACCATTCTGGGCTGATCTTTGATGTCAGAACGCCGGGACCGAGAGCACCGACGACGTGATACTGGGATGCCATGCGCTTGACAGCGAGATGTGTGGGTCCATCACTTGGCTGTGATGTTTCCGTCGCGCGCACCGTAGGGGGGTTGTTAGAGGTGAAATATTATAAGAATACCTAAATTTTCTAAGATAGCTTTCGCGCGTAATAAGTTCCTATTTTTTACTTATAAGTAAAAGCTATTAAAAGTATAATTGCTAATAAAGAGCTATTAAAAGTATAATTAATATTAAATTTTAAGCCTATTAAAGCTAGAAGGTTCTTTCTATTCTAACGTAAGAAAGTAGTAATAGCGCTAGCACTAGCACTAGCACTAGCAATAATAATAAAAGATATTAGAAAGTACTATAAAAGAGACTTCTTAGTAATATAAGTAAGCTATACTTTTTAAGTATACTTATAGTTAAAAAAGTAGTATATTTACTCTTCTAATACGCCTTATATAAATAATTCTTAGTATACCTTACTAAGTATTACTAAAAAAGTAGTTAAGAGTACTACTATAATAAGTATTCTTATAAAAAGACGTAAAGTAAGTATCTCTTAAGTTACTTAATAGTCTAATTAATAGCTATTATCTTATATTATAATATTATAGATAATAGGCCTTTAATAGTAAGACTTTAGATAATAAGCCTCTAACAGCACTTTATTAATTTAATAGCCTATTACAGCCCTTTTACCCCCCCTAGGGTGCGCGCTACGGTTTGGAAGGCTTCAGAGATGATCAAACTAGAGGTGTTATGTTGGCTCGGTTGACATGGCTCATTCGCAGCTGACCAGGGTTCACGATCCGTCAAAGATGCTGGACAGACGGCGCGGACGGCATGACGGCCTCTAGAAGATTACCGTTAGGGATGCACTAGCTCAGCTTAGTTTCAAAACGGTGGCGCACCTCAGCCCAGAGTTTTAATACACACGACTCCACTTGCGCGCTCCGTGACAAAATGCATGAGCTGGATAAGGACGCCTAGCCACGTCGACTCCCATTGATAGCCTTTTTGTAAATGACATGGTGTATGTCTTGCCAAGGTGAGGAATACGAGCTGGTGTAGATCTTGCCAACCTTGGAGGATGGCGAATACCAAATCATCTGCGGACCCACTCGTCCGATAAATCCAGCTCAACATGATGTCGCTCGACGTGCCGCACAAAGCCAGGCGTTAGACTTTGTTGTCAGTGCTTTGGGTTGATGCTTGGGGCGCAGAACATCACAACCACTCGTCTTTCAGATCTTCGTGTATCGTATGTGAAGACTCCTAGGCCATTACGCATTCGGGATTTGCGAAAGGCGAGTGAGGTATCGTACGCGTACGCCAATCGCGGGACTACGGCATGAAGCCCGTTCTCTCGACCTATCCTAGTGACTGGAACGAGCGGGGGTGCAGGTACGTCACCCCACATGCGGGAACTAGCAACTCATCTTGAACCTGTTTGCAGCGTTCTGTCCGTAGCGTATGTGAAAGAAGGCGGTGAAAGTCATTGTTTAGCGCCCTTAGATCAGTCCCTGCGGTGAACCCCAGAGGAGACTGCAGGTTCTGACTACGCATTCTTGTCTTTCTGGATTTCAACGCAGTCACTTATCGATACTATCATCAGCGGGTGGCCGATGTTTTGACTCGTGTCATTTCGTCGCTTTCTTCATCTCAACAATAACTTCCTCTAAGACGACTAGCACTTGATGAAACGCTCATCTCGGCGGCTTTCCGTTACCCGAGATTTTGAAGCGCCGAAGCTGAGGTGTTCCCAAAGAAAGCGAGAGCAGCCCGCTATGTCGGCGAGCTTCATCGACAGGCAATCAATGGAATGCTATAATTATCTAATAGACAGGGTAGCCACGTGGGAAGACAAGGATCTTCTCGTGCTGCAGGTTAGTGTCAGGCTCTAGGCTCAATGTGACGTAGCTCAAAACGGACGGCCGCATCATCCAGGGGCTGCCGTTGATCGCTTCCCCCTGTCTCAACTCCGAATCTCCGCCTTGGAAGGCCCATGTTGTACGTCTACCACGATTTTCCTTTTCTTTGCCTTATTGACCGAGACTCTCTTAGACCCTTGCCCGGAGGAAAACCTTGATTCTAGTCCCTGAGTAGTCTCACGCAGTGTCGGCGCGACTTGAGTTATGACACCACGTTGCTCCTGCATTCGGAGATGAATCATGGGATGCCTTGATGTAGTCAGTGTGTCGTCATTCTGATGATGTCGTCCTTAAGCCTGATGGACTGTTGCTGGAAACACGATGCGTTCCTTATACCTGTATGCCGTTAATAGCGTGGAATTGAATGCGTTGTGAATGATTGAAGATGTCTGTATGTATTTGACGGGAATGAGTAGAGTTGCGCAGCTGATCTAGACGTGTTCCGTATGAGAACCCTCCCGTTCATCAAAGTCGACGTCTACGGGTGCTTTAATCAGCCGTCGCTGACTTCCGCTACTCGTGGGCTGCCGACGATGATGCGCATCGCGCCGACACAATGTCCCGTACTTGATGTTTCTGCCTCTTGCATCACGTGTTGGTTAGCTACTTCCCGAGGTCGGCGTTGCGTTCTTGTTGTCTCCTTTGTCGCTGTGGTCTCTTTCCATCACATCGCATGTATTTCAACGTATCATCATATCCACACATGTGCATGCTCTTCACTTTACATGCCGAGGAGGATTGATCGTAGGAGGTGTGACTATTGATGTGGGATTCTGGTGTTGGGAATCGGAAGGTTTGGGTCTCGCTCAACGGCACCGGTATGTTGATGTTCCGGGCCATGACCCGGCCGAGCTATGCCATAGTCGGCTTAGCTCTGGCACAGCTGCAGACCAACAAAACAATCAGGCGTGAAAGCTATCAATTCGCCCTCTTCAGCTCCCAGGAGTGCTCTCTACCGCCCAATATCCATCGAAAACCCTCAAAGACCGAACACTTTCTTCCATTGAGTTCTCATGTCCTGTAACGTACACACGACCTCTGTGTACACCGCACTCTGGAGCGCTTCGCCATGTAGGTCATCGTCACAGGAGAAGTCGCAATACAGACATTTGCGCACGACCTGCAGGTACCGCGAGCCTAAAGTAGTGATCGAATGATGTTGTTCATCCAGCAATTTTCTCGCGGCGATGATCTCACGGATTTGAGGCGACCCCTCCAGCTGCGGCGTCGTGCTATCCGTCTGAGCACATATCTCTAGTAGCGCGACGCCGAGTTTAGCTAGCGTCAGGTTGCGGATGCCGAAGTTATGCTTCAGATCAAGAGAGGACTGCTGTGACACACTGTTCGGCGAGGTTGGATCTGGGAAGCGGTTGCTCAGATGCAAGCTGTCCAGTGCATTGGACACATTGTTCGCGTCGGCTTGAGATTGATCCGTGAAGTATGCTACATCTTGAAGAGTCCATGCTTGCGGCAACCAAGAAGTTGAATGATATTGGAGAACAGCCTCAGCCAACTTTTGCGCGAGTGTGATCTTTTGCAAGATCTGGAAGCGTTGCACGAGGTTCTTGATCGGTAGCGCTCCTTGTCGCCGGCTGCAAGAAGGCACATCGTTGGTCGCGAGCTTGCTGGCATCGTAGAACATGAAGCGGGTCGTTGGCTGACTCTTTGCGACTTCAAGAAACCCCACGCAGCTATCTTGACATGCCGATGTAGATGAACGCACTCTCGTTACATGACAGCATACGCTTTTTGTTGTCTTTAGATCTAGCATGACGAAAGATTGTGCTTGTGTTGTTAACGTGTGGCTTGTCGGTGTTGTTCGAACACATTTAATGTCATCTTTGGGATCATTGATTCGGACTCTTTTCTTCGACTTGGCTTTGATGGGCGGCGTCGGGGTCGTAGCTTCCGACGCGTCGTTGATTCCACAACGAAACGCATTCGCTAGTGCCTGTGGAGGTAACGTTGGAGCCGTACACACCGCGAGGGATGTAATGGACCGAATTTGCAGCCATATCGGGACGTTGCTAGATGGACTACACATCGTCGTTAGTCAACAGCGTTTCTACTTCCTTTCGGGACGCGAAGAACATCCGCTCTGACATACTTTTGAATTGCGGTATTAGGCTTTGGCTGGCAAGCGATGACAACGTCGAGTTGCACGTTATCGTACTCGCTCTTGGCGTCGAGCGATAACTTCGCCTGGTGTCCACTGTGAGAGGTGTTTGTGCAAGACCACGAGTCGTGAATGGACTCTCCTAACTGTTGTGAGGCGACGCGGATCTGCTGGTAGCTCCTTGGCACGGCTTTGCGGATGATGCAAGCCGAAGGAACATTGCGACGCTTCTGCATTTTTCGCCTCTGCTTACACAACTTGCCCAGCGACTTGTTCCACCTATCCAACGAATCGAGCTGTCGGAGGTACTCGTTCTCCTTGCGAGCTGTATTGAACGCGTTCCAAAGCTTCCGTGCGAACTCGTGTTGGGACTGTTTTGCGTTACCCAGGCCATTCTCGAGCTTGGACAGGCTGTTTCGTGTCTCGCGGAGGATATCGCGTTGTCGCGTCGCGATGCTCTCGCATAGCTCGTAATCGTGCTGCATCAAATCTCGCAGCCGCTGTTCGATCTCCTTTCTTTGTTCCTGCCAGCTCCTGTGGGTCGGATCCTCCATCATCTCAGAGACATCGCTCGGATGGGCGATGGCAGCCTGCAGCAGATGGCGGCATTCGTTGCTAAAGTTCGCTGCTGCTACTTCGAATCTCAGCTGGATGTCGTATGCAACTTCCGCGTGTCGTGAGAAGGTCGCCAACGTGCGCTTGGCTGTGCCGTACGACTTCAGAATCTCGACAACAATGGGCACAACACCGAAAACTAGACCTGCGATCTCGATGCCGGACATGGTGTGAAAGATGAGTCTCAAAAAACATGGGAGTTGATGAGTCTCGGGATGCGCACTCTTCCAAGGTTGATTGAACGAGGCGCAGTTTCGCCCCCAATGCGATAGGCGCATACCCCTCCAATGCGCAGCCCGTTCACGTGTGGCTGCTCAGCCGTGTCGGCATCCTGGCAAAAGCAACATGATCTCTCTCAGCTGGTGCGCATGTCCTAATCCATTGTCTTCTCGCCTTTGAGCATCTACTGACCGTGCCCGCTGGTAGTCGGCGCGCATGCTTCCACCAAAGAACCGTCGTAATGCATCGGCTGCCGAAAAAGGCGGCTTGGTGACGGAGCCCCGGCAGGCTGAAATGGAACGCACGCAAGACACCTCGTCGTCTCCAGCGAGTGAGCCAACCAACTCGCCTCCAACACAATCGCCGGCAAGGGCTCCGGGCGCCCATACCTTCTCCAGTTCTGGTTCAGAGAACGACCCACCGGTCCCTTTCGGTCGCGCAGGCAAAATCGCTACTTCGGGGGCTTTGCCTAGAGCTACTTTCACCTTTTGGAAAGATGAAGGTTGCCATTGTTATCATGTCGAGACTAGGGGTGTCTCCGTAGCTCGTCGCGACGACAATCGTATGATCAACGGCACAAAGCTGCTCACATTGGCTGGTATGACAGCAGCACGCAAAGGCGCTTTGCTGAAGAGTGAGAAAACTAAGCACGTGGTTAAGCTCGGGCCAACACATTTTAAAGGCGTCTGGATTCCGTTCGAGCGTGCCTTGGAATTGGCGAACGCGGAAAAGGTCGTTGACTTGCTATATCCCTTGTTCGTGGATGACATCGGGTCACTCGTATATCAGACTTTGGATCAGAAGCTCACGCCTTGTATCGACTCTCAACCCCAATTCGAAGACGTGAAGGAAACGACTGGGAGTAGCAAAGCTATATCAGCTCACTCTTCTGTGAAGAAAGAGGAGGACGAGGATTCACAACCGCTCGCCCTGGACACTGTGCAACATGTCGAACTACAGGAGCTAGGAATTCTTGGGTCACTATTCAGATCTCTCACAGAAACGCTGGGGCTCATCATGAAGGAGTTCAGGAGCCAACATAGTGACGCTAGGCATTACTTTTCTCTAGAGTCAACCTGCGCAACTTTGTTATTCTGGGGTACCGATCTTGGACTCCAGCGGGGCGAGCTCGACGATGTGCTTCAAAACTCTCCCCAGTTGCGCGACACATGCCTGGCCGTTCTTGTATCCATCTCCCGATTTGTGAGCACTTGTAAGTGAACTTCACCCACACCACTGTATCGCCTTAACGTTAACACGAGTCAGCTTTGATACACCTTGTGATCAGCGAGCATCATCGTAAAGAGATCTTACAGTCTACCGACTTTGCAACTGTTCTGGAACAAGTCACGGACATGATTGGTCGACAACATGATTATGCTTATCAGCCCGAACAAGACGCGGACACAGTGTGTCAGACCCTCCGTACAAAAATTGATACACTGGTCATGTTAGCACCCAGCCTAGAATCACCGGCTGAAGAAATCTTCGACGAAGAGAAGCCTCGTACTATCCAAGATATTGGAGAGACCCTGCCGGAACAGGCCTACGCTAGCAGTGTTGCAGAAAAGTTCCCTTTCGCTCCACCAGAAATAGTGGCCCAACTTGGGAGGTTGAACTGGGACCGATATAATCACGTTCTTCGTCTGCAACGGGAAGCAATGAAGCAGGAGCTTCAAGAGAGCACTGTCGAAAAAGCGAAAACCATCTTCCACGACTCTGGTCTGGGTACATCGGTACCCGCACAAACAGATGCGGGAGTAAAAGCAGAACCTATCTACGAGCCATCGATGATGTCGAGTAGGGCTGAGGCCAGTCACAAGCGTGTGCCACCATTGCCAGCTCAAGCGCGGGGTGGCGAGTCTTTCACGTGCGAGATCTGCGAGAACCAGGTGCGGTTCCAAAGAACCAAAGCATGGAAGTAAGTCGACCTATATAATACCACATCAATCACATTAAAGCTAATCATGTCATTTCAGGAAGCATGTCTTTGAAGACATCCTAGCCTACGCCTGCTTCTTCGCCGAATGCCACACCACTCGCGTCTTCTTCGAGAACGGCGATGGGCTGATGAACCATCTACAAGATCAGCATGGCATGGACGTTCGACTCTCAGATGTTACATGCCCCTTGTGTGTTGAGTTTGCTTCCGGAGACCGCGATGTTTTATCGCTCCATATTGCGCGTCATATGGAAGAAATAGCCCTTGCTATACTACCTTCCGGTGTTGATTCTGATGATGAGTCAACAGACGGATCAAGTGACCGCAGCATTGCACGGTCTGACGAAGACGACGTGTCTTCTTCGAAAGCAGAAGGCAGCAACAATGGATCATCTTCAAGTCCATCGGAACCTGGAGGGATGAAAAACATCAAGGCTTCGTTCCATAGGCATGGGCGACGTTACCAAAAGCCGTCTTCGGATCCATCAGATATCGAAATCACCATGGAAGATCTCGAACCTGGAGGGATGAAAGACATTAAGCAGTCGTTCCACAGGCATGGGCGACGTTACCAAAAGGAGACTAGTACACAGTGGGCGACATTCGAATACTCTCGCAATGGCGTTGCGACAAAATATACCATCCGGCGTGACATCGAGGCAGTTGACGTTGAGCGTTTACCTCATGGATTCAAGATTGATAACTGCATCTTCCCACGTGCACTGGTTCCTAAGGACCAGTACAAGGGCAATCGTCGGGATTATGAGAAGAGTTGCAACGTTATTGGCTGGGCGCTAGCCGAACTCAATCCATCCCTTCAAGGTCGTCGAGGTGTGCTGCAAAAAGCAGTGGAGAGTGTGTTTGCCCCATCCAAACCGAGCGAAGCGCATACTGCTAGTATTCAAGAGCAAGAAACAGCACCTGTATCGTCCGTCGAGAGCTCAAAGGAGGAACTACCTTGTGACGCGTGCAAAAGGACGAAGGGTCGCTGCAAGACACACGAAGGCGATCACACCGAAGAGGGCAATATCAGCCTTCGTGAGCTAAAGTACGAGCCTTCGGCACCGGAAGCAGCGCTAAGTGGAACACACAAGCAGGACTGTACCTTAATTTCCGAAGAACCTGGACCACTGCCGCAGGACATTGCGAACCACAACACCAAAGCTGAGCCACTTGAGAATCTCAAACTGCACGAGATTTCCGATAGGCTAAATTCCAATTGGAATCCTCGGCGAGGCTGTCCGGGTGATGGATGGACCTGCAAGCCTGCTGACCTGGAGAAAAGCACAAGATGGCTTTCTTCCGAGCTGTTTATTGAACACTATACTGGATATCACATGGATGAACACATACGCGAAGATCTTGCTGCTGGTAGTGTAGCATGTCGTCTGTGCAATCTGGCTGACTATCCGGGGGATGGCCATGAGCTCGCCAAGCATATTTTTCAATCACATCTACCCCGTGATGAAGCTTCGTCGAACATTCCTTCGCCGAACATCTCCTCCCCCTTTTGGCAAAAAGGCTGATTTCCGCCTTTCAATTTCCTCATCTGCGTCGGTTTCGAAAAGGCGCATTTGTTCATGTTGTTGTATGGCATCACTTCCAAGGTTGTATCGTAATACGCGATCTTGGTACGATAGCAGTCTCATTCATGAATCTGTTTCGAGGTTGACAGTCTGTTGTATTGGTTTGCGTACAAGTCAGAAGATCATCGCAAGCTCGTGCACACTATGACTCGTTTTTGTCGTTGTATTTCGCGATCTTCGTCGTCATAATCTCGAACTAAGCAATCAAGAATCGTTTCACGACAGCTAAAAGACACCCTCTCCAAGCCGCCTGCTGAGATTTCTACGCATACTTCCTCCCCTTCCTCAACGGCGCAACATCCCCGTCGAACCGTCCAATCGCCAACCTCCCGATCTCACCGCCCTCTTCGACATCTCCAAAACGTATGCGCACGTCCTTCAGCAATCGCGATCGATCAGCTGCGTCGAGATATGTCCCCGTCCCCGGTAAAGCTACGTAAGGATTATCTCTCGCAGCCAGACTAGAGAAGTTTATGAGCACGTCTGGGCCGTGCGGGAGAAAGGTGCGGAGGTAGAACGGCACCAGACTCGCTACGATGAGCACGGTCGACGAGACTATAAGCGCAATGACCCAGCCGAAGTGTGCTTTGAAGACCTCGACGTTACTGCGTCTTGTTCCTGTACTCGGCCATGCTCTCGCTAACATGAGCCTGTCCTTCCAGGTGTCTGAATCCATGCCCGTGGTATTATCTTGGTCTTTATGGTACCAAGAGACGTTTGCATTCGATCGATTGGTGTTTGTGTCGAAATTACCTATAAGCGAGTATTTTCCATTCATTGTCGCCCAGTATGCATTGAGTATCTGACTGAGATGTATGGCCCAACCCGCCTGATCCGCCTCCTCAAAACGACCAGCCGTTAGTCGTAAGATGTTCCTCGGGTCGTCGAGATAGGTTTGGGAGAGCCCATTCATGCTGTATTCGATAGAATCGACAGGCTGGACATCCCTGTTGAAAGTGTCGAAATGGTCTACTGAACCAGCTCTGATGGACGTAGATAAGAGCGTGGACTCCCAAGGTGTGTTCTCGAACCCTAACAGCGGACCCAGTTGGGTGTCTGCTGCCGGTGGGTGTGCGAGGCGAGAGCGTCGAATACGAACCGCAGCACAGGCATCGTATGTAGAGCATGTGATTTCTGCCTCCACGTACGTCGTTTCAATCGTACAATTCCAGATGCGAACCCTATCCATAGTAATGACGAACCCGAAAGGCTCGACTTCACCAGGAGGGACCTCGGCGCGTCTTGTGACATTTTCATTCCAATATACGTCCCCTAGCCACCTCGTGCTGTTGAATGTGAACTGGGTGTCCCGATCATCGGGATCATCAAGGTATGCACCACATTCCAGGTGAAAGTACTTCGCCTGGATCCTGGTGGAGTAGTCAATGAACTCCGGTGAATCTGTGCCACTTATCGGAACACCAATGAACGAAGAGTAAGATTCCCGAGTACCGTTATCGGTCCTGTACCAGCCTTCGTCCCCAGAAGGAGATGTGTCTTCGTAATGCTCAATTCGAGGTATTTTGATGTGACCCCAAGTATCGCGTGGAGAGCCTTGTGCGGTAGTTTGACTCATGAGGGCAGCGAGGTAAGAAATATCCAAGGTCGGCTTGAACGATTCGTAATCAGGCGGCCACAGCCACTGGCTAGGCGCGACATAAAAGAACTCCGCATGTTCAGGAATGTCCTTTGGTCCGTAGCTTATTTGTCGGAAAGATGATTGACCGCCCACAGGGGACAATATCCATATAGCTATAAGACCGAGGCCTACATAGCTCATCGCTCGAAGTTGCAATTGTGAGACCACGGTGCTGGTGAGCGAAGAGCTACTAGCAAGTGTGTCTAACATGCCGATTCGTTCGCCTTTCCCAAGCCTCCAAAGCAAGACCGCAAACGTCGCTCTCCCAACCACTGAGGCAAAGAGTATGGGATAGATTGTCGGGCCCTAGGACGGATTAGCGAATGGACAATCTGACACGCCCGAACTTGTACGAACCCATATTGAAGCTTGTTTGATCCTCTCAGCTGCGTCTTGGTGGCGACTAGTGGGTTTGCCGTTGTACCAGATGACGAAAAGAGAAAAAGAAAGGAATGCGAGTGAGAGAAGCAGTAGGAGAAGATCGATTATAATCTTCCAGGCGGCACTACTAAAGGATGTCTTGACGGGTCGCGGTGATGTTGGCCAGCCGAGAGGGAGTTCAGATTACTTCTCGAGCAACGGGGCATTCGGTAGCTCATAGTTCAAAGCAGTACTAGGTACTCTCTCGCGTGAGCTGCGGAGACGATCGTTTGAGTTGGCGGTATCTAGCTCGCAGTGGTGGAGGAGTTCCAGCTGGGGTGCATCGGTACTGATCCGCGACTCATGACGTGTTCGTTCCTCGCTGTCGGCGAAACTGAGTTCGATTTCGGAGGGGCTGTACTGGTACTTGTTCTGCTGTGTGGTCGCCATATCACAGGAGCAAAAGCAACAGGGCGATAGTCGACAGTTTGCAACTGCACAGGGTACATTATGAGAATTAGCTTGTAAGCCCGCGTAGCAGACTGGGCGGCGTTTATGTACGTGCAGCGTAAAAATGTTACATAGCAACGCCACAGCCGCATCTTTTGTCTGACAAGGCTGTATCGAACCTCGGGATAAGTCCTATTTGGGTGGCATTTTGCGCAGCAAAAGCAATTAGCAACAGCTAGCCGACTAAATTGCAATCTGCGGTCTCCAATCAGAAAGTCAAAGGCCCGAAGTAAGTGTAGTGGGTGGGCATTTCGAGCGTAGCAACAGTAGCGTTCGACGTAGCCGCCTGTCACAGCCCACAGCCCCACATGATTACGGCTCAGAGATTGCGAGTCAGATGCCCAAGGCTCGCTGCGCAGTACCTGGAAGACTGACTGGGAGGCTTACAAGCTGTGTCTATCCGTGAGGCGTTGACATGCGGCTGCGACAGGTCCGTTCGGTTATGAATTGCGCAACTTTATTCGCGACTTGTTGTGGAGTAGGATTCGAGGGTGCATAGTGGCGCTGATGCGGGCCCTGTGCAGCCGCCCGGGTGGCAGCCTGATAATCAGGCCTCCAGACTCCCCGTGCCGCAGCGCCATACAGTGATGCCCTCAGTGACATTTTCAACCGCAGCCTTGCTTAGGAATATGGGCACTATAACGCCAAATCAGCCAATTAGCTGGACTTGCTGAGTAAGGTAAATACAGCTAGTCAGCATCTGCTACTTGACGGTTGAAAACATACTGGGGACACGATAGGTAGTACACGCATTGCGCGACTCAATGCGAACCTCAATGTAGATCATCGTCGATGGAGCGACTTAAAAGCCGTCAATAGTGTATCAAAATCCCAGAGTTGACGCCAATCTAGCAAAGCGTGAACAGAAGATGTGTTAGAAGTCTGGTCAGGCGCCTACCTCAGGGCTGGAACGCGATCACGTGATGCTTGGCAGATGCAAATGCCGAACCCCCGACAATCTAGATCCTTCCATTCTTGCTTCTGCAGCAGCTAAATCGCCGAGCGATGCAAGGCGTCCCGGCGGAAACATTCATTGTTATACCATCACAACATAATACTACTGGATTCACTACGACAGACTGCAGACTGCGCTCTCACATCATGTCGCAGAAAGATGGTGATCGGTACTTCTCGTAACGCGAAACCTCCTGCCTGGCAAGAGATGGCAGGCTGGTCATGGGCGCGCGATAGGCTCTGTCTGGCTCAATAACGCCACAAGTGCTGTCCACGATATGCAGCCCCCGCGCCTTTCGAAAGGCTTGTACGCGAACTCAGCTGTCTTCAGCTGAGACTTTAGCTCCCCTAGCAGATACATTGTTGACATGTTAGGGTTGACAATGCCTCCATTCTGACCTTCTTCGACCTCGCTTCCGAATCACTCACGCAATCTTATATCCTGACTACAGTAACTGGCGACTAGATTTGGACAACGGATATGTAATATGGCGATTGGATGGCAGCCGCGGCTTACGGCGCTACTTTTGTTGTACGGCTTGTTCTGGCTTTGACAAGATCTGATCGCTGACCCGCATGATCAGGCTACTCTTCCAGATCATCAACATTGCGAGCGACATAGTATTCTTCAGGACGAAGGTAAACCTATCGCCAACGAATCTCGAAAATGAGCCACTTGAGCAAAACCCTGGGCCACCTCTTGACGCATCATTGACCAGCAAAGCGAAAAGACTTCTTATGAAGGCTGACATAAGTCGAGCTCTCATCCCGCTCCTCTTTACTACACTGAGTGTGGTGATAGTATCCGTGCTTTTCTCTGGCGCAAGCGACACATATCGCGCCACAGAGAATGCATGTAGCACGAAGCCGGATGCCGACATCAGTGGCGTCGGCGTACGCGCCTCTATCTGGGGACAAATTGCAATGCTGATCTTGATCAGTAGCTCGGGCCACCTGCATAAGAAAGAGACAGCAATCAAAGAAGTTGCAGGCGGCCTGATCCTCACACATGTTTCCCTCGCCATCGCCATTATTGTACAGATGTACAAAAAGACATTGACATCCGTCGATGCGGCGATCGGCGCAGTCATCTTGGACGCCCAAAATATCGCTCTACTCATCCCTGTCACTGCCAAACAGACCCTCGCAGCTCGATGGCAGGTGCTCATACTCATACCAGCCCAGATCCTCGGTCTAGTATTCCTGCCAGTGCTGGTAGTCAAGTTCACCAAGGGAGGCTTCGCATCGAAAGACTGCAAGTGTCTTACTATCTTCTGGTGGTCCAGGTTAAGCGACTGTAACGCCTTCTCCGGTAACGAGCTTTCTCTCTTCTGGATCTATTACACGCTTCGCTGGATGATGTGGATCCACTCGTCCTTCCATTCTTTGTACAACGCCGAGTGGTTCCACAGATCTGAGAAAGAAGGGCGCATTCCAATCTTGAACCGCGATGGTACAAAGCCAAAGACGTATTGGGAAAAGGCTATAGCTCTAGCGCGTGAACTGCGGGATTCAAATCGACAAGTAACAAAGGCTACTCTACAGGCTGGCCTGCTGTATAGACAATACTCTGCGACGATATCAGTATCGTATACGGCATACGCTCTATACTCGCTCACGTCTATGGTAGTTGCCGAAGTTACCATTGGAGAGTACAACCTCCAACCAAGCTCCAACGCCAACTCGATCGGTCAGATAATTGCCGTCGTGGTCTCGCTCGCTACTCTCCTTCGAGTCGTTTGGAGCTTCCAGAGCCTCTATAATGACGCCGAGAATAGTTCATTCCCGGACTTCATCTTCTCATTGCTTTCGCGGTCCCCGTCGAGTTGCTGCTTTGGCTCAAATGTAGAAGAGGCGAGCGAAGATCCAGCTCTGATCTTGTCGAGACCAGATGAAGAACAGCCTGGGAGGATATCAGATACCGATAGTGGACATGGTGGCTCAGGAGGATCGCTACCTCCGCAAACCCCCGCACGATCTTCACAATCATCCCATGGAGCGGTTGGCCTAGCTGATCAACATCTTGGGCCCAATCCCGGATCACCTCACCCAAGTAACAGCAGAAATTCCTCCGATAGCGCCAACTTGCCAAAGACGCAGCCACATCTGCCTTTGGGACAGAACGGTCGAGCACAGCGACTTCCACCGAATCGTGCAGTGCCACAGCCAAAACGAACCGCCTCTTACAGGCCAGCATACCGATTCGAGTTCCACCAGCCATTCCATCTAGATGCTGTCAAGCTGCTCTTCCTGCCTACAGTTACCCAATATCTGGAGGCTCGAAAAGAGTCAAAGGCTACAGTTCCGATCAGCGAGACTATGATTCCGCCGCTAATAACGCCTCCGACACTTGATCAGCCAAGTGCCTGCATACCACCTGAACAGCTACAACAGGACACCGGTAAGAAGGAAGCTTCTCCGCCGCGTCTGGTCGTAGAAGCTTCGACTTCCGCCGATGACGAATACCCCGTTATGACTAGCGCCAAGCCCCCAGATTCGTTGCACGGCAACAGAATGTCAGAGACGGGCGGCTTCGATTCGACTGATCAGCCACAAAAAGGCCAGGTACTCGCAGAATTACACCCACAATCTGCTATACGACGTGATATGACCCCAGCACCGATCTCAACCCTCCCTGGACCACAGAAATACGAGCCAACCGCTGCTCAAAAGTCCGAAGAGCAACAACCTGCATCCCTGGGATTCCCAATACAGATGCCAGAGGAAGGACGCAAAGGTACACAGTCCGGTGTGCCGCAAGGTGACGTCTCTAAACACACAGTGAAGAATATTCCGGCGCCAGAGTGGCTCTTAGGTCAGGGGCGAGACTCTTTTACCAATCCAGTTCTTCCGTTTTTGAATCGCACCAATATAGGCCTGGAGTCAAAGATAGGGCACCCTGGTATCGCAGACCCGTCAGAAAGTGGCGAAGGATCACAAAGCTCGGACTCTGAGTCTGAGAAGAGTCGTACATCAATCAGAAGTGTTGATCACATCGACACAGGGCCTGACATGGACGACCCACGGACGACAGACCAGTCTGCAGATTCCATATACCACAAGAGATTTCAGCTTGAGGCTCCAAAATCTTCGCTCAACAAGGTGGACGAAACTCTGCCAGAAAGGCCGATACCGAGCCGGGCGTCTCATCAATGGAATCGCGTTCTGATGGATTTAGGCATCATCCACCGCAGACAATTACCACACGGCTTGCTCGAGCGCTGGGTTGCTCGAAAGTGGCGCCGCGTAACACAGGAAGCGAAAAGAAGAAAGAAGATTCCTTATGAGCCTGACGTGCGATCCGGATGTCCCGGCATTTCGAGGTTATGCAAAAAGGGACCAACTATCTGGGAAGATTATCCCCCATTTAGGACACACTTCGAGACCCATTTAAAAGACCCCTTTTACAAAAGCCGTAACAATCTGGCGTGCATATCATGTTTAAGGTTTTATACATTCGCATTTGCCGATCCGGGTTTTTGGGATGTTGAGTCTGATACATCCACATATGCCAAGCTGGTTTTTATGGATGTTGAAGATCTCGTATGGCACATCTGGGACAAACACATGCACAAGGTGGAACGCGACCCATCATCGCCACCGCTAGCGAAAGCAGAGCAGGGCAAAGGGAAATCAGCGGAGGCTTCAAAGCTCGAAGCTAAACAACCCATTGATGCTGAAATGGGTGGAACGGGTGGATTGGAAACCACTATCGACCGCAATGTCTTCTAGCTCCATTCATTATCTTCCAATCCTTCAACTTTACGAGGAAATCTTACCGCGTCTGCTTCAACCCTGTTTCTCGTTATCAGTACTCGCCTTATCGACGTACCTTTCTTGGCCTTGCCTTTTACGCGCGCGCAAAAGCTCTGAATACGCAATCCCACCAGTGCACATACGCGCGATATATCCAAATGTCCACATATCCTGACGTCCACGTTATTCCTGTCATCGCACACCTGAAATGAAAGCCAACACAGCTATTTATAACAGTAACATACACACCCCAAGTCCTATTAATCATCATACCGCGCGTTCAAAAGCACACTCAACTTTCCGCACAGCCAGCGCTAGCCGAACAATTAGTAGAAGCCGCAGAACGCCTGATCTCAAACCCGGTTCTGAAGAAGAGGATATCGCGGAGGATTAGAATCTGCTTACTCGCATGCTAGAACTTACCAAGTCGTTGTATGTCTCAAGTTTTCTGCTTGTTAGAAGCATGAATAAAACATATGTCTAGCGTAGAATGTGGAACTATCACTTACCAAGATTCTTACCTCCATCCGTCACAGAATAGTGTCTGCACCGTAGAAACGCAAGCGTCGCTGTCTAGCATCACAGCGACAACGCCAACTCATTGCAGAAGGCGTCAGACATGGACACGCAGGCACTACTGTGCGTGAATCAAGTAAAGCCGGCAGGGCGAAAGACAAAAGACGCCAGCACAACACAGAAAAGAGCTAAACACCTCGCACATCTCAGATTAAAACTTTATTGCTTGAGGAACAACTCCCGCTTTAAAAAGTTTCCTTCAAACGAAAGCCAGGCCTTAGCTACAAACCCCCAATCCCCATCACCATCACCACTACCATCCCTTAGGTAAACAGCCAGCGGTGAAGGATCTTAATCGTACATAAATCCAAAAACCCAAGTCGGAGGAGGAGCTGGAGGATCATAGGTACTCGGATCATAGGTACTCCCCCCTCTCCAGCCTATCCCTCTCCGCCCTATCCCTCTCGACCAACTCATGAAACGACCCCCCAAACATTTCCATTCTCAACCTCTTCAACCTCCTAGCCTTGTCCTTCTTCGACGCACGCTCAGCATACTAGCGCTTCCTCTTCTTCTTCCCCTCATCCTCACTCGCATCAGCCGCGGCCTCCTTATCCTTCTTCGCCGCCTTCTTATCCAGCTCATCCCAACTCTCTCCCTCTGAGAACTCATCTTCACTGCCCTCATCTGACATCTCCTCGGAAGCGTTCTCATCAAAGTCCGATTCGTCGGAGGATTCATCCGAGATAGCGAGTTCGGATTCACTGACTTCAAACGCGGATTCCTCCTCCTCCTCGCCGTCGCCTTCGTCATCAGTCTCGTTGGAGAGGAAACTCCATCCGCCGTCAGCGAAGAACTGGTGGGGGTCCGACGTAACGGTCTTCATGATGGTGGCCCAGTTCAAATTCAACGGACCCTCTGTGAACGGGATATCGACGCTGTCGAGCCAGTCTTTGACGGGGTCGAGAGACTCGACGGGGATGGTGTTGATGTGCACGGGAGGCCGGTTGTAGTCCTTAAACACAACCACCATGTCGAAGTTCCTCAAACCAAACTGAACGCGTTCCAAGTGTACGATTTCGATCTCGGAGAGGGTGAGGCAGGTGAAGGGGGGTTCAGTGAGTTGGACGAGGCAGTCTGTTGTGGGTTGAACGAGGACGGAGGAGCGGGATGGGACACCGTTGAAACCCAACTCGCGGTAAGGGATGTCGACGCTGACGTTCTCGTTGCGGGCGGCGTCGGCGATCTTCTCGGCGAAGTTCTTGAATTCCTTGTCGAGAGCTGCGCGGCGGCGGCGCTCTTCTTGTTCTTGCTCGAATTCTTCTTCGTCGCCGAACTTGTGGCGCCGCTTGCGGTTGCCTGTTTCGTCGAATTGCATCTCGGTGGCTTCGCGGACGAACTGGACGTCCTTGGTCTTCTTCTTGCCCAGCATTATTGGGTTCTTGAGGTGGACGTGGATGATGACGATGAGCTCGTGTTGTGAGGGTTGGAAGAAGAGGTGCTTCATGTTGCTGAAGAGGACGTCGATCTTGGCTGTGCCGTTGCCGTGGACGTAGCGCAGACCGTTTTGGTGGATCTCGACACTTCCGGGGATGCGCTTACCGTCGAGCGCGGGGCGGATGAAGATGAGGTCGAGCATGTGTGGCTTGCGGGTCTTGAGGGGGATGAGCTTGTCTTGCTCAACGACGTCCTCCATCTGCTTCTTCTCAGTCTCTCGTCGCACAACGTCCTTCTTCAGCTCTGTGATGTCCTTGGTGATCTGGTCGATGCGGTCGACATCGTGCGACTTAAAGGTCAAACTACGAATGAAGTGTGCGTTGGGGTCTTCGAACGGCTGGTCGTCCTTTCGACCAACACCTTGACCTGGTGAGAGGAAGTTGATGCGGAGAGATGTGAAGTCCGCCTCGGGGGTATGCGATGCGTTCTTGATGGTGTGGATGTGGAAGGGTACGGGTCGGCCCATGATCGGGAGAAGAACAGTGAGGTTCTTCTTGTCGACTACAATCTCCAAGTTGGCGACTGAGCTGGGGAACTGGTTGTCGCGCTTGTAAGATTCGAATTTCTTAAACTTCTTCTCTTCTGTGCCGTTCAGAGACTTTGCGCCCTCGCTGTACTCGGCAAGACCCTGCTCCTGCTTCTTGGCGTGCAGCTCTCTTTGATGCTGCCGCCGTTGCTCCTCCTTCTCGGCATCTTGGTTTGTTGTTCGCTCGTGGCGTGTGCGGGTCTTGGTGATGTTCGTCTGGGCGATAGCTGGGCGCTCCTTCTTGACCTTGGGCTTGGCCTCCTCCTCTTCATCATCGAAGAAGAAAGAGACAGCGTCCAGATCTGAGGTGGTGTCCTTGGTGAAGACTGCGCAGTCGCCGGCGCTGACACGGACGGTGTCTACCAAGACGAGCGAATAGTTCTTGCTCTTCTTGTCTTGTGGCTTGCTGTTTTCGAGGTCTGACAGACCAGTCTGAACTACCAAGGTCATGCCGTCTTTCAGGACACGGGTGTTCTTGCCACTCAGGAGCAGCGAAGAGTCTTTGTTCTCGGTACCGATACCGTAACCGAGGTTCTTGGGGAAGTGCTTCTCCCACTCTGGCTTCTTCGACTTGAGATGCGCGAGCGCCTTGTTGTACACGTCCTTGGCCACAACGCCGTCCTTGATCGACTTGATGACCAGGTCGTGAATCGCCAAGAGCAGCTTGTAGGCCGTCTCCTGCTCCTTGTTGGGTCCAACCATGAATGTGCGACCGATCATGGCGCCGTATGTCTGGTAGCGCAGACCGAGGACGGAGATGATGACGCCCGCGTGCAGGTTGTTCTCGTCGGGTTCGGCCGCGAACTTGAGGTCGTATGAGCCGCCACTCTGGATGGTCGGCTGCAGACACCAGTCGAGCTGCATCGAGTCGAATGTCTTGGATAGCTTCTGCTTCTCAAAGAACTTGGCGTCGTCGATCTTGTTGGAGACTTTGTCGGCGAGGGCGCGGTGGGAGATCTTCTTCTCGGAATCGAGGATGTCGGACATTTCTTCGACGAAGTAGTTGGACATGAGGGCGCTCGAGGCGCGGGCGGCGTCGCGGATGGTTCGCTAAAACGTCAGTAATGCCAGTGCGGAATTGTGCGATCAGACTTACCAGCTCCTTCTCGTCCTTGACGGACAAGGCGGCGTTGGACATGATGGAGGCCAGATCGACCTGGTCCTCCTCCTTGAAGCCAGCCTCGTCGAATGCAGCCTTCCACTCGTTCGCAAAGGCGTTGTTGGCGTTGTCCTTCTTCAGCACCGCCACCTTCTTGCCGGCCTTTTTCATCGTCTCGAGACATGTCTGGAACTGCTTCTTGTTCTCTTCGGCGTCCTTGCCGCGGACGAGAATCTCAACCGGCACCTTGCCACCTTTGAGTGGCTCAAGGTAGGAAGCTATCCTCATTAGTGAATGGGCTCAAACTCAAGTAGTGGCCGCAGACTCACCCTTCTTCTTCGTAGTAACAATTTGGAGGAGGTCGGGGGTCAGGATGAAGAGCGTCGCGGGAAACTCGTAGCCTAGCAGCCATAGCTGGCGTCTCATCAGCTCACTGTCCGTTCATCACATGTCGAAATGCGCAATCTTACCTGGAACGCTGCGGGCTTCAAATAGATTCCCGGCTCGCTCGCCTTGCCCACAAGGGTCGCGATAGAGCTTGCGCCCTGAAAAACAGCGTCGCCGGAGCGCTTGTCGGCCTTCCACTTGGTGACGAGAGCGTTGAGGCGCTCGTGGAATAGCGCCTTGTCGATGACAATGTCGTTCTCCGCCATGGTTGAGGATGCGCTGAAGATATCCTCCAGGCGGTTTGGCGTAGCTGCGAGGGAGAAGGTGGGAGGGAGAAGGCAGCGATGAGAAAGTCGCGAAAGGATGATGCGACGCGAGGTACGCGCTGGGGGGCCGTGCGCCTCTCAACTCCACAATCATACTAGCGCCAACCTCACCTAGCAAAGCTCTCTACAGCTGGCATTGATAAACCCCACATCTTCCTAGGCAACACTTTTCAACGTCACGTTTTCTTCTTGTACATACTTTGGTCATCTTTTGTTGTTGTAGACTCCCGCATTTTGGTCACGCCAAAGTCACTCCCATCTTGTGACCATCCCACGCGCCTGCCGTATCCATCTCAAAACCATCACCACCCCTCTCATGCATTCGCAAAACACACCCACCACCAACACTATGCGATGACGACCGGCTCCAGTCCTCGCGCTGGAGTCTCTCTCCGAAGCGATGCCTCCAATGACACTACGACAACTACGCCTGACGCCCCGCAGGCCCCCAATAAGGCACCAGCGACGGGTGTGCAGGCGGCTGGTATGCGCGCCGTGGCAGCGAGGATGGTCGCCTTCTACTTTCGAGCACCCGTGAAAGCCTTTTTCAGGGGGAGAATCGACTACATGAGCTATGCGAGGGCGATAAATCCGCATGTCATGGCGGATGCGAAGTGGTCGTGGAGGATGACTACACCGGCCGTATTGGCGCATGCGATACGGACTGAGGGATGGGGGTTTATTCCGAAGCAGGTGCTGCCACCGCTGATGGCAAATACTTGGTATGTGACCCCTCTCCTACCAGCACACCTATACTAACACCCCCCAGTATCGGCGCCGTCCTCTACACAGCCTACCTGCACTCCCTCTCCGCCCTCCACGAACCCTCGTCCTACCAGACCAAACGCGTCTACCCGCCCCCTCCCCCATCTATAACCTTTGCCGCAGGCTTTATCGGCGGCTCATGCCAATCCGTCATCGCCGCCCCTTTCGACGCCCTGCAAACCCGTTTCCGCACCGCCGACATCCTCGAAGGCCGCCACAAGACAATGTGGCACTACGCCGGACACAAACTACGCTCCATCGGCGTCCAAGGCATCTTCGCCGGCTGGTCTCTTTCTTTCATGAAAGACGCATTCGGCGCCGCCGTCTTCTTCGGCACATTCGAAACAGTAAAAAGCCAAGCTTACCTCGAGTTCGTGAGCCGCTACTACGGAAGTCGAACGCGCGACACCCTCCTCGAGAAATCCATCCCCTACCTCCAAGAAGACCACGACGACCGCCCCGTCATCCGCCCCCACTACATGCTCGAACCCATGTTCCTCCTGCTCGCCGGCGTCTCCGCGTCCATCACCTCCCAACTCATCCAGCACCCCTTGACCGAAATCCAAGACGTCCATTACCGGCGTCTCGAAGCCCTGGACTTCCAGGCCCACCAAGACAACAAGCCTAGTCATATCGTCCGCCGCTACTACCACGCCTACGAAGAAACGTTTGCTCAGTGCAAGGTTTTAGCGAAAAGGGCGGGCGGGTGGAGGAAGTATCTTTACAGAGACTTCTTCATGAGCACGATCAAACAAGTCCCGAGTACCGCGGCGGGGCTTATTGTGTTTGAAATTGTGAGGCGGAAGTATAGTTTCGAGAACGAGGAGGTTATGATTATGCATGAGGATGCGAGGATTTTGCTTACCTGAAGAGCTTGGAAGACGTTGGTTGAGTGGTGCGTGGCGCGTAGTGCGAGAAAAGCAAGAGAAGGAGTCAACAACCTGCATCAATCTCCGCTCGGGTGCTTGCGTGGGGTGTACGCGATATGGTGGTAGCACCTCCTATGTGGGACAAGACGAGTGACCTCAGATCATCTTAAGGTGACTCGCCTTGTCTTACATAGGAGATGCTACCACCATATCGCGTACATGTCATTCAAACCTCCGGGTTGATATTCAGGGGAATTGTACGACGAGGGAGCGAAAGTTTTGACCTCCACCACCGCCCCTCCGCCTCCCCTGGTGGGGGAGACTACATCAATCGCTCATTTCTTCGCCCAACGCTGCTGCTCAGCTTGAGTAAATCCGCTTTTTCGTTTTATACGTTCTCGGAAGTAATGGGGGGTTTTGAAGTGAATCTTTCACTTGAAAACCTCCCGTTACTACTGAGGGATTACTGGTAACTGGTGGATATACTCGGGCTGGGTGGGAGTGTTGGAGTGGGAGATTGGACTGAGAGGGGAGAGAGAAGAGGGCAGAGGGCAGAGACAGTAGAAGTAACCCTCGACGTCTCTTTCAACGCCGCTGCTCAGCATGGGTAGATACAACGCTTGTTTCATACGTTCTCGGAAGTTGCGTGATATTGTCGAAGTGAATCTTTCTCTTGGCAATGTCACGCTACTTCTGAGGGAGTATAGGGCAACTGGCGGATTTACTTGGGCTGGATAGGATAGTTGGGATAAGAGCTAGACTAAGAGGGCAGAGGGCAAAGGCAGTAGAAGCAACCGTCAGCGTCTCTTCCAACACTGCTGCTTAGCCTACGTAGATGCAGTCGTTTGCTGCTTTTGTTCCGAGAATGTGAGCAACAAACGACTGCATCTATTCGGGCTGGGTAGGAGAGTTGGTGTAAGGGCTGGCTGATAGGAAAGGGAAGGGTAGGGCAGTTTCGCCTGAGAGGAGAGGCGTGTTGTTCGCAGTCTGAGAATTGTTTGCATATGATACCCAATTATAGATTGATTATATTATAGAACTTTGTATATACGCATAGAATAACACAACTCGCATCGCATCAAAAGACTATCGCCATGAAGTGGCATCTTACAGATCAGATTTCGGCACCTCAGCCTGATCAGCCACGCACGAATCATAAGCACCGACTCGACCCACCCCACTCACCCACCCAACCTAGCTAACCGCTCAATTCTCTCTCGTTCCCTCTCCGCTTTCTCCCACACCTTCTGTGCTTCCTTAGCCCTCTCTCCTAGCCGACGCCCTATACCCAACATCTCCAGACCGAGGATATACCACACAAACGTCCGGCCGAGATGCCATTCCCCGTGGAGGAATTGGATGTGGCCTACAAACCACCTAAGCAGCGATAGAATAGGTCAGTACTACATAGAAGGACTAAGAAGTGGGATGAAGGATGAGTACAGGGGATAGGGGGCGACTTACTGCCAAAAAATCCCCCCAATAACCATCCAACACACCACCCCCAACTTCACATTCTGCTTGTCACTCAGGATGTTCCACGCTTTACTCTTGATCATGTGCCCGTTTGCTCCACTCGTCTCGTTCCCTCCATCTCCATTCCCACCACTCTCAGACTGAGGTAGCGTGCGCCAACAGCCCACCCCCACAGTCACCGGCACGGCCGTCGTAACCCCATTCTCCGCCGTTAACGTCGATGTGGAAATCTGGGGACAGTCTGGGTCCCAGATTATGGGTTGGGTTGGCATGGGCGCTACTCCCGTTGGAACAGGAGGGGGTGCAGCAAGTGGTGTGGGAACTGGTGTGGCGTTTGGGGTGGTGGAGGGGAAGGCGAAGGAGACGCCTGAGGCGAGGGAGGGGATTGGGGTTTTGGATTTGTGAGGGGAATTGGATTTGGAGGTGGAGGTCGTGGCAGATTCCCCGTCTGCGTCTTCATCGTCTGCGTTGGATGTTGCGGTTTTCGTGGATTTGGCTTTGTGGGAAGTGCTTGTGGTGGTGTCGTCGGCGGAAGTGTCGACTTGGGACTCTTCATCGTCGCCGTTGGGTGGTGCATCGTCTTCTTCAAGCGGGGTATCATCGGCTGCTTTGGAAGTAGCTGTAGCTTCCTCGTCGTCGTCTGCATGTTTTGTCTTCGACGACATTGCCTTTTCCTTGACATCTTTAGATGCAGTGACAGTTGCTGTAGCTTCGTCATCGTCTTCTACGGGTTTCAACTTGGTGGATGTCGACTTTTCTTCGACGTCTTCGGGTGCGGTAGCAGTCGGCGTGGCTTCATCACCCGTATCCGTCGGTTTCTTCCTGGTGGATGTGACCTTCTCCTCAACATCCGTAGATGTGTCGGTAGTTGGCGCGCTGTCATCTTCCTCATCTGCTGCAGTCTTGGTATGTGACGCCTTGCTCTTCGTAGACGTAGGCATCTCGTCATCTCCAGCCGCTCCTTCATCAGTCTCGACTTCTTCGTCAGGTATTATCTCCCCATCAACTGGTAGCTCATCTTCCTCTTCCTCGTCTCCATCCTTCGCATCAATACCTTCATCATCCTCATCTTTATCCTCTTGCTTGTGCGCAAGCTTCGTAGCAACGGCCGTCTCCTCTTCGACTCCATCAGTACCGGAACTAACCCTCGTAGGCTCTCCATCTTCTACATCGATATTGAAAAACCCCTCATCTTCCTGCTCAGGCTCTTCACCGGGCCCACTGAAGCTTCTCGAATGAATGACTTTGGTGGTAGTCGCAGGGTACCACATGCGCCAGAGTAGTGAAGGTGGTTTCAGTCTACCGATCGCCGCGTTACTCGACGCCGTGGTGGAAGCTATAGCAGTAGAGACGGCACTCTTCCAGCTATAGTCGGAGGTATATGTCATGCTGTTATCCGTAGAGTGAGAAGACGTTTCTGCTCTGACACCTATCAAAGCCGGCGTCGGCGCTATTAGTATACCACGTCGCAAAGCCCCGTTCGAAGAGTCGGTAGTCTTGATCGAAGTCTGATCAGCAATGTGTGCGGTTGATGGTGGGTCTGGAGCAGTCTCTACAAAGCTCTTGATATACGAGTAAAACGAGTTTATGCTTGCTTCAGTAAACGGCTCGTCCGTAGTTGTGCTGACAGGAACAGCGGCTGGTGTGGCCTTGGGCGTCGTGGATGTGTCTAGGTCAGCAGGGTTTGCAGGGTCTACAGCTGGACCCCGATACTCCTGGACCGACGTTGCAGATTCGGGCATTTCCTCAGTCTCAGTAGCCTCGGAAGTCTTTGACTTTGCCTTGGTCGAAGGTGAGGCGCTCTCTTCGGGTTCAGAAGGGTCGGCGTTCGCAGCTTTTGACACCGTTGGCGTACCTGAAGCTTCGACAGTCTTTGAAGAATCTTCGTCGGCTTCGCTAGCTGTAGATTTGGTCTTGTGCTTGCTAGACACATCAGTTGCTGATTCCGAAGTATCCAAGTCACTTTCCGAAGCCGTTACAGACGTGGACTTGTGGTTTGAAGACTTTGATGCCTCGGATCCACTGCTGCTGTCGTCCGCTTTTAATGTCTTAGACACGGTCATATCTGTACCTTCATCAGTGGTAGCAGATCCTGACTCAGAGGCTGTTTCCTCCGTAGGTACATGTTTTGTGGACTTCGAAGTCTCTATCTCATGAGTAATATCGAAGGTGTTCAAAGATGTGGTCTTGTCGGTCAAGGTCGCGGATGTTGCTGAAGCCGAATCATCAGTGTCAGTCTCCGAAGCGGTGACTACCATAGACGCGTGCTTAGATGACTTCGACACAGTATCCGACATTGTCTCGCTGGGTAAGATCTTTGACGTCTTTGCTTCCGATGCCGAGGCTATTGCCGTTGAGCTCCCAGAACCTTTGCCACTCGGTGAACTGTCGACACCCTCCGCGTTCTTGAAATGGAGGCAGAAGCTATCAGCCGCTTCTTGGTGCACAGGTATAGCCACGACCTTTGTGGAATTCCGAACAGCTAGCTGTAGTTCTCCTTTTGGCCCACCCTCCGAGTCCAGCTCTACCTCACTTTTGCAGAACGCGGAGGCTGTGCTGTTGGACATGAACACTGAAATGTAGCCTTCAGATGCAAGATCGATCTTGATATGATAGAGGTCGGTGTTCCTTCTATTGACGATGTTTGGTCCGGGATGAAGGGTCTCGTCGCGTTTGGTGTCATCGTCGAAATGTACGAATCCGACTTGCCTCGCGTCAAAACTTACAGGCACGCCGGTAATTGGTAGTTGCGAAATTGTAGGCTTCTGTCCACTTGCTCCCCTCGGCCAAAGAAATGCTGTTGCCATGGACGACGCGGTGTCCCCGTTCATAGCCTCGGAGACCTCATCAGGAATAGATGCAGAGGAGTCAGACACTAAGCTTTCGCTCCTAACATTGGGGCCCTTGAAGTTTGTAGACAGTCTCCGTACTTCCGTGTGGTAGATCGTTTTTGTTACGGTGGGTGTCGCACGCTCGCTGCGTCTGATGGGGGCTGCCAGAGCGAAGTCGAAAGCCTGAGCATAGGTGCTCAGCGATAAGGTCAGTATGCTCAAGAGAAGTTCCATGTTGATGCCGCGCTGCGGTAGTATGCAGAAAGAACAAAAGAAGAGGAAACACAGATGCAATTAGTGCACCAGGTCCGGTAGTGATGCATTGTCATTGACGAGCATGCGCTCTGGTGATATGTACTTATCTTGAAGCATGCGGCCCCCTGGAATGGAGTTAATGGAATAAACCGAGTGAACAAACACAGCTGTGAAGATACAGAGTAGTGCCGCGCGAATGGTGGTTATACCATCCGCCGCCCACGTCAGGCGCAAACTTCATGTGCTGGTGGAATGTCAATGTCGCGTAAAGGGCAAGCTCGTGACAGTAACGGTAGCGTGCTTCGCCGCAGTAGCTGGGGATCATCACGCATAATCTCTTCGCTCGAAATTGCGCGTGGTTCAGTGTTGTCTCCCATGACGTGATCTGAAGGTTCTGCGCGTTGATGAAGTGATGGAGGATGGAGTGACGAGGAAGCCGGGCGCCGAAGCCGAGCAGCTCGGCTTAGTAAGCCAGCACGGCACATTCCGAGGTCACGCATCGTTATCCGAACATCAACCACCATTTCCGTCTTGTACTCACCACAATAGAGCCGCGCATTTCCTCGGCGCAATGAAATCCAACATTATTTGGTGTCGCCGGCAAAGTAGCAGCTCTAATCGAGCTTTTCCGATGGATCTCATGAAACAGTTAAACTCCAGTCAGGCACCAATGAACCCCTCAGTTCATTCCGACACAAGTGCCGAGATAGCTACCTGCGGTACGCGGTGATGCATCATATAACCACAGCGCCATGCTCCTCCACCGTCTCTCTCCATCCCGCCATCTTCAATCCTTGACCCGTTCTTCTTCACACTTGTCTAGACGCACCATGGCTTCCCTCCCCATCAAGCTCGCCGTCCTCGATGACTACCACAACATAGCAGCCCAGCACTTCGCCCACATCGACCCTTCAAAAGTCGAGACAACCGTATTTACCGACACATTACCGTCGTACGCGCACCGGAAAACATCCGATGCCGATCGCAACGCCCTCGTCGACCGCCTCAAACCCTTCTCCGCTCTCTCCACTATGCGCGAGCGCACTCCTTTCCCCGGCGAGCTACTGCGCCAACTGCCGAACCTCAAAGTCGTGTTTGCGACGGGCGGCAACTTCCAGAGTTGGGATCTGGATACAATGAAGGATATGGGCATTACGGTGTGCGCCGCGCCTGGTAAGGGCAGGACAGATGGGAAGGGTAGTGGTACGTCTCCGCGGTCGCTGCCGGTTAAGCAGGGGGGTGGGCATCCGACGACACAACATGCTTGGGCGCTTATACTGGGGCTTGCGCGGAACGTTGCTGCGGATGATGCTGTGGTAAAGGGTAAGGGTGTGCCGGCGGGATGGCAGACGGAGCTCGCAATGGGTCTACAGGGCAAAACACTGGGCTTGGTAGGCCTGGGAAGAATTGGAGCGCATGTCGCAAGAGTTGGCGTGCTGGCTTTCGGCATGAAAGTCGTGTGCTGGAGTGCGAACTTGACACAGGAGAAGGCCGACAAGCTGGCTGAAGAGTGCGGGCTGCCTGTGACAGGTGGTGGCATGACCGACGCAAACGAGAAGACATTCAAAGTCGTCACCAAACAACAGCTCTTCACATCATCCGACGTAGTAAGCCTACACTACGTCCTCAGCGAACGCTCACGCGGTATCATCGGCGCACAGGAGTTGGGGTCGATGAAACCAACCGGCCTCTTAATCAACACTTCGCGGGGCCCGCTTGTCGATGAAGCTGCGTTGCTGGACACGCTCCGACAGGGACGCATTCGTGGCGCCGCGCTCGACGTGTTCGACATCGAGCCCCTTCCAGCTGACAGCCCATGGCGTACCGAAGACTGGGATGTCAAAGGCAAGAGCAGGGTGTTACTCACACCACACATGGGTTATGTCGAAGAAGGCACTTTAACGACATGGTATGAAGAGACAGCAGAGAATCTAGAGAGGCTGATAGAAGGAAAAGAGCTATTACATCGACTAATCTAACCCAATCTCAGTTCTACCGGTATCCCCTCCCTCTCCTCTTCCGTCAGCTCTATATCGAAGATCTCTTTCAAAGCATCAATCCGCTCCTCCTCCGTCGCACATTCTCGTACAATCTCGCGGTCAAGCCCAATACTCTGTTTAACCCCGCCTTCAAAAAGCGTCACACTACCCACGATCGCCTCTCCAGCATCGTCCATGAGCATCTTCGTACTAGTCACATATTTCGTAAAGAAAGAACTCGGATTCGTAGACGTAAACCACGACATGATCTCGTAATCCTGCGGCAAAAACTCCGTCTCCGTAAAGCAATACACCGGCGTCCACTTCTTCTCACCCTCACCCTTATCGCTGCTGCTCGGATTATAGCAAACGTCATAACACCACATCTCATTCGAATGCTCTCCATACGACTCCGCAATAGCGCGCCGCTGGACGCGAATAAGCCTCGGAGCTATACTCGTCGTTTCGAATCCATGCTGCAGCGGATACGCCAGATTGGGTCCCATAGCCCCCATGCCAACGTCGGCGACGTACCAGCCCCCATCATCGAATCCGACTAGATTCAGCATGTGGTTCCAGCCATCGTATGTGGCCGCTTGCTGCCGACGGACTTCTGGGTATGGGCTCATGGCCCGCGACACGCGGCCGCCACAATTGCGCACATGAAAGCCCAGAGAGCGGAGCATGGTGGCGAAGAAGGTGTTGTTTTCCATGCAGCGGCCGCCGCGGCGCTGGGTGACTATCTTGGTGTATAGGGCCTGGGGGTTGAGTGTGATGGTTTTGTGGGTAGAGTAATGGAGCTCGAGGTTTTCAAAGGGGACGTTGCAGGTGTGATGTCTCATCAGAGCCTGCAGAAACGGAAGGCCATGCTCTTTGGTAGTGGCTAGCGTCTTGTCTGACAGTACAGGCGTATCCATATATTTCTGGGGGAGACGGACGCGCTGGAAGTAGTCGCGTAGTTGGGAAGTGCTGTAGCGTGGCGCATCGTCGCCTAGTGGCAGTTGCGTCAGACGGGAGGGCACTGATGTGTCTGGCATATTGTAGAGGGCTGTGGATTGACCGAGAATGGCGAGTGTTGGCTTGGGTTGGAGTAGAATACCAGTAGTGAATTCAGGCGCCTGGCAACTGACCGATTTCGTAAGCAAAAGTGGGAGATGCGCCCCGTGTGTAGATTCTAGTCGTAGAGTCCAGCACGCCCATTACCAGCTGTCAGTGTTACCCGTGTTGCCCCGCACTTACTGCTGGGCTTGTTATCGGGCTAGCGCATCGCGGAACAAGCGGGTTTGACGCGGCTACGCCAGGTCCGGCTTTTGCATTCTCGACAAGGCTTCGTCTACGTCACCCTGCACGTCGTGAAACCAGAGCCAGTCAAATCGACCTTGCTGAAGGCGAGGCAAGATCTTGCTCATATCGTCCCCTGCTTCTTCGTGTTGGAAGAATAGCATACGGGCCACCTCAGCTGCCTGCTCCAGTTGCTTCTGGGCGCGTGGCCTTCGTACTGCGTCGTACGCGCTGAGACCAGCAACGATGTTGGCGTCGCTATCTGCTTCTTGTCGCGATGACTTGACAAGCTCTGCCAATATATTCGAAAGGACCAGAGCGTCCTCGACGCCTTGAGCAGCGCCCGCTGCCTGAAATGGCAATGACGCATGTGCGCTATCACCTAGAAGGGCCACACGGCCTCGGTAGTATGTCGAGGTCCTCAAGTGGTGGAAGAAGCCCCATCGGATTGGGCTTGCCTTGGCCAAAAGTTTGCGGAAGCGGTCGTCGACGCCTGGTCCTTCGAAATCGGCCATCATGGCTTCATGTGAGACCGTCTCTGTCACGGCTTTGTCCAGTTTCCAGCGTTGTCCATCTGTGACACACAAAAGGTAGTTGAACTCCTACAAGAGATAGCGATAAGTACGGGAACATCTTTTTTGGTCTTGGACATGGGTACTGACTTACCTTTCCCTCTGATATCCGGTACGTTACTGCGCAGCGCTTATGGCCAAAGTAGAATTTGGCTACGTCGGTCAGATCGCCCAGAACAGCTTCGGCATCAGCCATTGGAAAGACAGCACGGTAGCAATACGCATCAGCGTAGACTGGCGCTACTTGATCAGGAAACTGCGGCTTCAGGACATGCTCGCGGACTGTGCTCTTGATGCCGTCGGCGCCAGCAAGAATACTCGCTTCTGCGACTTCTCCGTCGGCAAAAGTAAGGACAAGTTTGGATGGCAGCTGTTCGATGTTGACGAGGCGCTTGTTAAACTTGACATTTTGTCGTGGAATGAAGCTGGTCATGATATCAAGCAGCGTCTTGCGATGCGCCTAGTGCTAATCAGCAATACTCGTGTTAATGGCGATGAGGTGGAGTACGTACAGACTTGCGCTCGAAATCAGGATGGCCCCACGCCGACTTGCCGTACCATGCTTGGTCTTTTCCTGCAATAGCACGTTAGCAATAGACACATCGAGAAGTGACGTAGCACAGGAAATCTCCATACCCAAACCCTCACTAAGAAGCATGCCCTCAAAAAAGATGTCTTGTTTGTCAGCACCCTTGTTCCCTACGCAAATCTTCTCGTACAAGGCACGGAATCCAGGCTCAATCAGATCCATGGCTCCCATGCCATTGGGCGCAAAACCGATACCAGCACTTGGATCAAGTAAGCAAAGGAAGCCTAGGTGAGGGCCATGGTGATAAGGACATACCCCACAGCTGAAAATTCCTTGGCGTCCTCGTAGAGGGTGAAGGGAACACATTTCTTGTGCAGCGCCATGGCTAGGGCGAGACCACCAATGCCCGCGCCTGGATGGCCTGTTAGTGATCTGGGATAGAAGATGGGTTAGTGTGTAGACATGCATACCGACAATGGCGACGTGGAAGTCGCTGTTCATGTTTCTGGCCATGGTGTACAGGATGGTGTTTGTGCTACGACGTTGGCGCAACGATGACGCGCGATCGTGGAGAGCGATGGACAGGCGATGCAAGCATGCAGTAGGTGGGCCGCTGATTGTACCTAGGTATCGAGGAATTCATCACCTGGGCGGTGTCGTGATGCGTGGTAGCCCGCCCCGTTGGCTTGAGGCGTGATTAGATGGCGTTCCGCGATTACCCCGGGTTACCTGGCACTAGGTGGACGCTACCACGCCCGAGACGGGAATAACCGGGCACGTGATATCCCGTCCGTGAATAATAAAGCGGCATGTCCAGACGCTCTCTACCAGACTGTCTCCTCACCACCATCATAACCATGGTGGAGTCGGAGTCAGCCGCGGGCACTGCCGCATCGACCAACAAACGCCGGCGCATTGCTTTCGCATCCAACGCATGCCGTGTACGCGTGTCGAGGCGCGATTGACGGCGCCCTTCGTGCTTGTCCCTCTTTTGACCACCCTGATTTGCGAGTTTCTTCATGTACCTAGGTAGGATCTCGTTGGGATCGCCAAAGTTGCGACTGGCTCGTTCGCCCTATGCGTCATAATAGAACCAGGATAGCGGTATCCGCTACGAACCAGACCGAGCTTTCTACCCAACAAATATTCGTGTATAGGTATAGCGACTTCCTTGCACCACTGCTGACACCACAGATAGGATATGTTGAAGAAGGTACTTTGACGACTAAGTATGAAGAGACAGCGGAGGACTAAGAGCCCTGGACATCTTACGGTTGGGGGTGTTGCGACGAGTGTCGTGTGAGTGCTCATTGCGGTTCGAGGGCGTTGTCGCATTCGTAGATGTCAGAGAGTTTGCGAGCGTTTCCAAGGTTCACACGCTGGAATACGGTCATCTCCAACCCAGAAGCTGAGATTGGCCCGTTGCTCATTATGCGTCACAGCGGAACCGAGGACCACATGCCAACCCACTAATCCTACCGGAATTACGATCGAACAGTTATGAGTATATAAAGCCGGTGCTGCGCGTAGAACGCTGTAAGCTCAAATAGACCTCAGCGCACCTCAAACCACCGCGGAAACCAATATCGAACACAAGTCCATTCGTCCCCACCCCAAAAGACGACCACCATGACAAATCTAACTCCAACCCCTCCGTCAACCCGAACTTCCAGACGCCGCCGACCAAGGAAGGCCACCATGGAAAGTCCAACTCCAACCCCTCAATCAAGCCGAACCACCAGACGCCGCCGACCAATATTCGAGACACTCCCCGACGGCACTCGCCGCCGCATCGTCTACCCCCAACCTCCCCAACCACCCCGTCCAACGCCAATTTCCATCTCAGAGCCAGACCTCGCCTCACTCTGCACCATCTGGGACTTTCCCAAACTCTCCGAAGACCAAGCCCCTTCAACCTACGACCGCGCAGAGCATCTCCTCTACGACACAAGCACAGGCCCGTGGGCCAGTGACGACGAGCGGAAGTCGTCTCTAGACTGCGCACTGCATACGGCTATCCGCAGGATTGTGGATGCGCTAGGTTTCGACTTTGGAGGGACTACACCGAGTAGAAATCATGTGATGGCGGTGTATTATCACGAGGACAATGTGGTGCCGAAAGTGCCGGAGTGGTTAAGACCGCTGTTGCTGGTGGAGACGCATCGTGGGTTTGGGTATTATTGTGATTTTGGGGAGCGGAAGTATGTGGAGTTGGCCTGAGGTCGTCATGTGGTGGGTAAAATCTTTTATTGGAATCAAATGAGTTGGTGTAACAACTTCTTTCCTTCATCAAACAACTCGCCATACATACGAATATCTGCTGGGTAGAAAGCTCTCGTCAAACACCCCTGAGTCCTCCAGCTCGGTCACCGCCATCAGTGTCACCACGACACCGCATCCGAGCGGACGTTACTCGCGGGCGCCGAATTCACTACCTACCACCACCGTGCTCGACGCTTAAAGCACCCTGATACGCCCAGATCAAAGAAATGTACGCTATCTGGAAGTTTAAAGAATCGACGGAGCAGCCCGCTGAGGACTTCGACCGTGCCGAAACATACCTCTATGACATCAGCACCGGGCCTTGGGGTAGCGAGGCTAGCTGGAAGTGGCTCTTACGTTGCGCCGTCAACACGGCGACTCAAATTGTCATTGCCGCGCTGGGATTTCCAGGTATGGGCACTGCCTTTGCGACGAAGTACACATTCACAGCGCACTACACGAAGGTTGATGAGATTCTGGTGCAGCCGGAGTGGCTTCACAAAATGATGACAGTCAAAAGGATTTCGCTGTACGTTTGGACACCAGAGTGAAGCAGGGCAATGGCAAGACGACTACATCGAATCAGCGCACCGAAGAAGTCGTGACCATGATGTGCTTTGGCGATCACATCGCATCCACGGAGCGAGAAAGTCGTGATCATCATGAACTCTACCGACTACATGGCTGATGCTATGTCACAAGGAACGCAATGAATCTCAGCGTGGCAACTACAAGCATCCTGATACTGTACTAATGTATGAAAATATCTACTTCAAAACTATACATCGTACTCGTGATGCTCTTTCTGCCCACCGCTTCTCACATGTCCTCCTCTGACTCCTCGTCTTCCTTGGAGGCAAACACTAAGCGGAGTCCCAGCAGACGCGCCTCCAGGAAGTATACATCTAGACACAAGAACATACTTGTGTTTTCCAGAATGCTCTCATGCGGCGATCCAATATGTAACACCAATGGGATCTTTACAAAATTTTCCATGGCATATACTAATGCCCCTGAGTGTCTGTATGTCAAGGTCGATGAGGTCCTTGTATTCAGCGAGTAGATCTTGCTCGTACTCCGTCTCGAAACCCCCTTCCATGGTGGGTCGTTCCGGCTGTGGCTTGCGCTGATATGATGGGAACCGCCATCGGATCGCGTTGAAACGGCGTATCTTTGTGTCGCTGGAAATCCCATCCACCTCACGCAGCGAAGAAATCGAAGAGGTCTGGCGCCTACATCAAGGTGGAAATATGCAAAGTATATGACCCAACGTCTATGTAGGCTCCAGGGTGTTCAGATTTTCCGCTCCCCTCTGGTCGGTGATCGTGTCACCCAGACGGATGCGATCCGAGGTGGGAGTGGTACCTCGGGTGTATATGTCATGTTGAGATTTGGGACTATCTTGAGGAACGGAATCTGAAGCCAATACGGCAATTTGACTATCGAGTTTACGGATGCTGCGGCGACGTGAAGGACCGTTTCCCCGGCTTTTCGAGGGAGACAAGGCGTTGCTTTATGTTCTTGATATCTATGCGGACAGTAGCGGACTCCATAGCAGTAGTGAAAGGGACGATGGGTGAACTTCGCGCAACTATAACAGGCAGGTTGACATTAGCATAGATAGAATGATTCTTGATTGTCATAAATACCCAAAGAAATGCAATGTTTGCAGAAGTCGGGAAAAGAGAATATGCGACGGTAGGAAATTATCGCGACTCGTTGACTCTGGACGTGGCTCACTGGTGAACATGCGTCCGTTTGGTCTCGGAACGACGCTTGGAAATTCCAGTCCGCTATAGCGGCTTTGAAGTCCGCGAGAGGTGCCTCGCTCCGTATCACAGGTGCATTGTATTTGTTTTCCCATGGCCTATTGTTTGGGTCGTTCTCGACTGGGGAAATGTCCGGGGACGGATAGTCTTCGTCCTTGGACCTTTTCCTAGAGCCTTCTGGCTGCTTCTCCGATGATGCGACGCGCTTGTTTGGGGATGATGCGGACATTTTTGTAGTGTTGTATCGAATCTTGGTACGATGCGTTCTGCAAGGGGAAAAGGATTGCTGTGTTGGGAAATGGCGTGGCGTGGTCAATCTGGTGCTTTGTCAGAGGCAAGCACTTCCGAGGGTCGCTACCGTACCTTGCATGCAATCTCCGGTCATACGTTGGGAGATCCAGAACTTTTTCCCGCCTGAAAGAACATGTCGAACCTTTGGTGAAGATCAATTTGGCGGCGATGGCGACGACGTTGGCCTCTTGGTCCTCCTACGACTTCGAGAAATTCCATTGCGCCATCGCAAGCTTGAAGTCTCCGATGCTCATGTTATGGCGCGGGGGTCGTCGTTGTGTTTCTAGAGCAGAAACGTTAACAAGAAGGGACACTGATAAAGGTGCCTTCGATGGTACGTACCCGAAGTAAAGCACCTGAACGGAGTGTGAAAGAGGCAATAGTAAGGTATGTGTGTGTGTGGGGTAACGATGGGCTGCAATATCCACGTCGTCTCTTGGTGCAATGTATGTTGGTCGACGTCAACCAGAACGCGTCGATGGTGCGATGTAGAAGGGGGCGTGAGGGAAGTAGATTACATTCAACATCAACATGGCAAGAACACGGTCATCAGCTGGGAGGAAGTACATTCGGCAGCGGGGGCAAGTGCACCCACAGCTCTTCCGTATTTGCCGTAACTAGACAACGGCTATCTAGTTGTTCTCCATAGCACTGTCGTAGTCCCCAAACACAGTTGTGACATCGCGCCAAGGGTATATTCAATCGGCAAAGATATCAACTTCCTCGTCGTCCTCCTCGCTTTCGCCTTCCCAATCGCTGTTCAAGAGTGCGGCCATGAACGCCGCGTCGTGCTCATTCATTTTTGGGACTGCAATAGCACTTGACTGCTTCCTCCGATCATTCGGAGGTCCACCGTGTACCGGTAGGCTCGCATAGCCCACGATAGTATCGGTGAAGCGCTCGTCGTGGCGGAAGCCGCGCCATTTGGCATAGCAACGTTGCTACTGATGTCAGTATACCGAAGTCATAGTAGTGGTTCATTTGGAACTTACAGCCGGAGTCATCCAGGAGAGCGCCTCGTCGTCGTCTTCAAGCGTAGAAGGATCGCAGTAACGCATCTTGAACGTCTGCTCGCAAGCGAACACGTACTTGGCGCGGAACATGTCTCTCACCGACTTCAGCTTGGCCTTGACGTCTTCAGTACCGATCTCGAGGTTGTAGATCTTGTCCCAAGGGATCGACTTGCCGACGTCTCCCCACATCGCGGCCGCCATACGTTCCGGGTCTTTGTCAAAGTCGCCCTGCCAAAGAGCTTCGAGCTCAACCGGAGTGAGGTCTTCGACGGCCTTGTCAGCATTCGCAGCCTGTTCCTTCCACTCGCATATGACCATGGCTACCCTAGGATAGATGAAATCGCTCATGACCTCGGCCTGGAACTCCGACTGATAGTCCCTTGTCCGCTTTCTAGCGCGAGCAAACTCATCGGACGACTTATCGCTGATACCGCAACCAGCGAGCAGAGCGATGGCGTCATCATCTGCGAGCTCATGCTTCAAGATATAGACGATCTTGGCGGCAGGCTTCAAGGTCGAGCTCAGCATCATCGGCTCTTTGCGCGGCGGCGAGGTACCAAGGAATGGCTTCAGCCAATCGGCTTCGCTTGCCCAGTCGATGCTGTTCGGCTGGAAACTGCCGTAGCTGCTTCGTGTCTTCGCGTAGTTGCCGGCGACACGGCCGCGGTTTCGCACGATGGTCTTGGTGACTTTTCCGGTGTCGATTTGATCGGAGGCCTCACCTTGCGAGGCGGCGGCGGCGGGGGGTGCATGGCGAGCTCGGACGAGCTTTGCTGCTTCGAAGATACTGTGTGCGACCATGTTGATGCGACGGTCGAAGTGGTGACAATAATATCAAGCGATGTGCGAGAACGAAGAGGAAGGGTAGTTGCAGGTCGGAGTCGATACTTTATACTACCCTAGCGCAGTGGGGCTTTCAAGACTGTGTTCAAGGTGAGAGCCAACTCGCGGTGACGCTTTTTCCCCTGCCTTCACCTCGCCCTACAGCGACTGGTCACCGCCACGTTGACCGCAATCTGCTCCTACATTGTTCGCCGAGGGCTCTTCCTCTTCTGTGAGCCGCGTTGCATGCCTGCACTCTTCCTTCTCGGCGTGTGGGTAACCGCGTCCTGGGGTAGAGGCTCACACATCTGCTCGAGAGAAGCAAACATCTCAGGCTTGAGGACCCACTCCCCCGACTCTTCGTCCCGCACATAAGGCTCTTGCAGAATCCACTCCCGCCACTTCTTCATAACCTTGACTACATGCGCTTGACTGGCTTCAAACCATTCTTCGTGCAGCTTACCACAGCCTTCACACCGTCTTCGCAGTCTACACCCCTTCAGCTCAGTGTGTATGAGCTGCTCGACACGGTGAACATGCGGCATCACCACCTGACTCTCCATACGGGAGTGATAGTCGTGCTTGCGCTTGCACTTCGTGTTCCAGCCTTTGAGCCGCGTAGCCAGATCGTTGGTGTACCCGATCTTGACGATGCCGAAATACGCCTTGTCCCAGAAGAGGTAAACATGACCCGGAGTCAGGTCTTTGGCACCCAATGGAGAAGCGGCTCTTTCGTAAAGTGCAGAGAACACGGAGAGCTCCCGGACTTTCTTTGGTTGATAAGGTGTGAAGCCCGATGAGCATGAGAAAGAGAAGCGGACAGTTGCCTCAGTGGTTGACACTCTGAACTTGGGCTTTGTTGCCCGCTTGACTTGTGTAGCTGGCTTAAATGTTATGACAGTGGTCGTGGGTCGCGCAGCATGATTTGTAGATGCTTCAAGGTGACTGATCGTGTTGACCCATCGCGTAAAAGTCGATTGATCTTGTTTCGTCATGTGTACCCTGCCTTCAAGCTTGTTGCGCAGTTGCGATATCCTGGATCCACCCTCAATCTCGTTCAACGCCGTGCCCTGATGCGTCTTGCACATGACTGACTGCACGATCGTCTTGACACGGCGTAGCATACGGCGGTAGTCTTCTTGTCTCTTGAACTTCGCTATATCCTTCACAGCGCTAACAACATCACGACGCGATTCCTGAGGCTTTGCCATGTGACTGCATCGTTGAGAGGAGCTTTTTACGAGGGACGCGGGGCAGTAGCCCGGAGCGCTGGCCAGTCTTGCGTGAAGGTCGTGTGGGACGAGTTGTTCTAGTAGCTTCGAGAACTTGCTGTCCAAAGGCGGATGGATGCGACCTTGGGGAGATGTAACGATGGTTGTCTCTTCACGAACAGCGGTACGTAGAGATGAAGCGACTGTTGTGGTAGCGGCTGTCTTGGAACGTGTTCGTGAACTGACACTAGTATCCTGCGTGAACACGAACGTGGGGTTGCTGTTGTATTTGACGGTAGCAGCCGCGACGCTTGCCTTGGAGACTGTGATGTGTTAGTCAGATGTGATCGCTATCAGCTTCAAGATGTCTTGACATACTCTCTTCAAGCACCAACGTGACGCCTCGGAACAACTTCGGTTGGAAAGGGTCATCCTGTGCCGCTGTCCCTTTTTCCTGGAAGAAGGGCTGCGGAATCGCTGGAGTTACTCCAACGCCGAAAAAAGGCTTGGGAATTGGGGTGAATAGCAGCTTTCTAGAAGAATCAGGGGGTGTTGGAGGTGTGAAAGGCGTCAGGATACTTCGTGGAGAAGCGCTGGTCGTCCGCTTAGTGGGCGTCTCGGGTAAATCCCACATGTCGTTGAACCCTGCCGGAGACGACGTAGTCGATACTGTCGATGCTGGTGACACCCAGGAGATCTTGTTAGGGTCTAGTACGGATAGCACACCGCGGCTACTCTTCTCTGAGACCGGTGTGGGTAGGAACGTAGCGCAGGGCTTCTGAGCTGTATCATACCCACACTTGGGTGTCGGCAGACCGCCTGGTTGGATGCTAAGGTCTTCAGTAGCGAATGTCATGATGATAGCTCTGAGAAGACACTGGGTGGCGTGATCGATGGGGAAATGCAAGACGTAATAGCTGAAGGGATGAGATAGATGGATGGAAAGTTGTTGCCAGCAGAAGCTGAGTCCATGCTAGTTATATCCTCAGCCTCGCGGAGCCAAGTGCATTGCCTGCGACCACCACACCTACCCATCTCGCTGAAACCTTTGGGGTACTGCGATGTCAGCCTCAGTCGTTGCAGTAGTATGATACCACAAGCGCATGGGCTGCGGCTACGTCCATCCGCGTAGACATATCGCCATGATGGGCAGGTGTAATCGCCTCCCAAACATCTACGAATGACTCGAGGACGCGATGGATTCACAACCATGAGGCTTGTGAGTTTTGAATCTTTGGTGGCTGCATGACCCGTGCCGCAGAGCCGCAGGTGGTTGCCTGGCTCAGCCTACCACAGCCACTGGGTGCGAGGGCTCATCGTTGACGATCCTCCGATGAGACTGTATCTAGAGCTCAGTCTCTTCGGCGATGAAGTCAGCTGTTGAAAGCAGATTTGGCGCCAGTGATCGAAAGACCGGGAAATGGATCAAGGACCTCGGACTGCATCCTCTCGCAATAACGTGGGTAGCATTTTGGCCCCAAGGAGAAACGATGCTTCGAAACCTCTCGTGTAATATGTCGATGAGAGAACTGTAATAATACCAGTATGCACGCGCCATCTCAAGCTCGTATCGTGTTATACGCATTCCTACCATTTGCCGCCTTTCGACCAAGACGTGGGGTTTGAAACAAACGTCGTGATCTTGCCGTGGACCGTGCTGGAGAGCGCGCCGTCGGCGAACCTCACACAGGCGATACACATCGAGATGATGCAGATTGAGCGGCATATGAAGCATCGGTGGGCATGCTGACAGATTTTCTGAAACAAAGACAGATGCAGTGAAGTCCGTGAGTACGTCGCGTTGAGTGAAAGCGAAAGCGAAGGGGATGGAGGTTTGTTGTTCTCGGGGACGCGTCGTTGGCACGTGCGGGGCCGCCACGTGGGACGGCAGCCGCCGCAGATCGGCTCTCTACAGCTAGAACCCTAGTCACCGCGCGCATCATTTGTGTCAACGCGACAATTACTGTCGTAATAATCCCCGCGAGGACCAGTCATGCTCTTGATTCAAACGAGACGAATCAACGATGAGTTTCGCTCATGGTGTATGTCTTGAGCAGTCCACGCGAGCCCAATCCTTCTCCAACATTCCCCTCCAGCAGTCCGCGGAGCAGGCACGACAACGAGAAGATACGTCATGTGCCTAGACGTATCGAAAGCCTCGTACCACATATCCCTTACCAGCCCTGTTCTGAGTAGTATTGCAGCACCTGATCTTAGACCGCCTGACCATTTGTCAGAAGCATCCAAAATTCCACTGGCTAAACTCTCGCGGCCATTGCTATCGAGTATCATGCACTGCCTCGAGCCCGACTGATTTTGAATAGATACTGGATACCACTCGCATTGGAGCGTGAGCACGTAAGCGGGATCAGTGTTTTCCTTTGAACCTAGATCGGTCCTATGAATCTGGATGAACTGAAAGCATGGATCCCTCATATTGCCCAGCGCTTTGAACCGAACCGCAAGATCTGTAGAGATCCAACTCCAGGAAGGGGTTGAGAAAACATCATTATCCGATCCAGAATCCTGCTGTTGAGTGTCCTGATCGATTGGGCAATACCACAGGAGCTCGTATCCCAAGTTCTCTATCCACATGCCCGCCGCATAGGTGTAGCCGGTATTCCTTTGGAACATGCTTGCAAGACCTGACAAGGCGGGTAGCTTGTCAGAACGGTAGGTGAGACGGCAGCGCGAATACTCCGAGACAATGATCTGCCAGTCTGACGGTGGCGAGACTGGGAACGAGGGGTTGTCATCGAGTGGCCTAACGAGCGGGTCCCTTACTTGGGGGCATTCAAAACTTTCGTAGCGATACGGAGTAGCTTTGCGCATAGCTACTCGATGATTTCCTTCCCGCGCTGTATGAGCGAGACACTCCCAAAACATCTCACCGTCGCTGTAGTACAGCAGCCTTGGCGATAAAAGACGCTCTTGAAGTGCCCATGCCCTCTTGTAAAGTGGCGCAGTCTGGAACACACTTTCCTTGGTTCTTTCGTGGTTGTTGGAGTTGATTGTACCGTGTGCCGCCGCCGCCACCAATGCGCCGTCGCGCGGAACCAGCATACCGTGATGGCAGTCCGGGGAACTGAGCGCATAAAGCGTTAGATACGAGTGTCGGTAGATGTCGCCCATTTTTGCCGCTTCTTCCGACCAGTCATCTTTGCAGTCTTGGAGTATACACAGGCTGTCTATCCAAAGGTACTGTATGCCTAGCCTCCGAGTCACTTGGACTGCATCACGGTAGAGCTCAGGAAAAGACTCCATCGGTATACCCCGGCAATGTTCTTCGAGTGTGCTAGTAGTCGTGATAAGAGGCTGCTCACCTCCCCAACAATGACTCAACGTCATGTACAGCGCTTTGCGACCATCGGAGATATGTAGGAATGGTGTGTCTGTATGTACGTCGATTACCCGCGTTGGTAGTGGTGTCCGGTCACCTTGGTAACAACTGTGGTTCATATCGCACTTTCCGAGCCACTCTTTGACCAAACCGAAACTAGATTCCGAGGACGGATCCGGGGCGATCTCACGAGCATGCAATCCGTAAATGTATGCGATATAGCCTGATGTGAGAGATTAGCGCTGCTTAAATGCTGATGCCCTTGATATGCTTGCCGTACTCTTGCCTCTTAGATGATCCAGAAATCCGTCTCCAGTCTCTGTCCGCTCAGCAAACCATAACAAGAGGGAGTGTGAAGGAAGCTGCTCAGGCCGATCAAGCGCCGGAGGGTTTTGACGATCGGCTTGACACTGTGAAAATTCCATGCATATTGCACGGCAAAGCCAGCAGCCTTTAGTACCTTCCTCTTCCAAACCTGCCAGATCATCGAAATGTCGCATCCTTGATCCTTTCGGCCATGATCTCAGGGCCGTACACTTCTCGCAGAGAACCAACCCGATTATTGGTCTGGTATAGTTATACAAGAAGGCTGTCTCATAGTCCGGCGTGAAGAACTCGATGATCAGACAGTGAATGACTCTGACAATGGTATAACAGAGTCTACAAGGAAGGAATATAATCCCTAGTTGGATGCCCACTGAGGCACACAAGATTTCAACAAAGAATGGAAGGGAATCGACAATCATTATGGTACAAGTGGTTATGTGTCAGCTATACATGGTCAAGAAGAAAAGATTCCGTCGAGTGTAGCCCTCATGATGTCGTGGAGGTACAAGCGTTTCAGTTGCTCACACAGCCCCTGAGGCAACCTCAACTAGGTTAGAAGTGGTTGAGATGATCATGCAACAATTCCAAGCTAACGAATGTGGCTGCGCCTCACCGGAAATCCTACTGAGGCGCAGCCCGCATGATCTCTGATTGATCGGAGCGCAATACAGCATGACACGATAAAGCTCGCGAGCATCAGCTCGACTTTCCGGTACCGCGATACAGCCTTTGTTAACCTCGGGAAACTGCATACTGAGCTTCGCTTACACTGAAGAATTTGTTGAAGAGCGACGGTCATCTCCCACCCTCAATGCCGGTCTTTTTCACAGCATTGAAAAACTACGTGCGCGATTTCTATTCGCGATGGCGATACGATATTTACTTGCACAATCTCATGCTCGGAGCTATTGCAATAACAGTCCTCTTCACAGCCGGTGGTAGGAAGCATCCCTCACAGTATGATAAGAGGGTATTCTAGTGTGTTAACATGCAACAGGACTAGCAATCGATCGATCTATCGATAGAAGGAGCTTTGGCGGATGGGACGATCACCCAAACTCGGAGCGATGCTATAAGCAGGAACGTATAGCAACGCTGCTAGCGTTCTGGCTCGGTGTGCTTGGTATAGACCAATGGTATGCGCGTCACTGGATCCTGGCTGTGTTCAAGACTGCTACTCTGGGTGGTTTGGGTTTATGGGCAGTCGTTGATATAAACTTGTGGATTATTGGCGGGGTCTATGGTACTCCAGGGTGTCCAGGCGGTAGCAAGAAAGAATGGCTTTACTGAGAGAGCTTGTACACCATGTAGTGTAGTACTTCGCTGCGATAAATCGGAGTTTACTTGATCGGGTAGGTACCCGGGTACCTCCCTAGGTAGGTACGTACATAGCTGGTCATCGCGAATTCTGGAGTGCACACTTCCTTACTGCTGACGTTCACCCCTGTTACGCGATCCTTCCCAATATTATATTGCTCTTGTCGGCTAGCATTGGGTGCCTGAGTGTGAGAACTTGGTCGAGGGCGAAGTTGATGGGTTTCAGCAGATGCGCGTGCGCCAAAAGCGGGGCTGTCGGTGAGCTAATTAGGTATGACGGCTGATTGCCCTTCCCCCCCTAAATTGTGGCGCCAAGTTCCTCGAAAACCTTCCAGCTTCTCCAAATATCTCTTCAAGGAACACTTCATCGCTGCATCGTGCGCAATTAATCTTAAAGTGATTTGCGATATGGCCACTTGCTTGCAGAAACAACTTCGCAAAGTTACGCAACTCAGGCAGCCGCTGACGTACGCAGCATGTCAAAAGCTATTGCATGCTACCCTGTCCTCCTAATACCAGTGAACGGTACTCGAGAGACGAACATTGTTCTATGCAACGCCCGTTCGCAACTGGATCTAAACGATGCGTATTTCGAATAACGAGTTGTCGATGATTTCTGACGAGCCCATCGTTGATCTCTTAGGGTAGGGCAGGTTCTACGAACCCGACATCACTCTCCGGAATCTAAAATCCCTTCAACCACTTCATACGCCTCCTTGACCACAGCCCTAGTCTCTTCGTCCAACCTATCCTCATCCGTGCTCAGATCCCACAGCCTCTTCTCCCACAACCCCCACCGCTCTGGTGTCAATCCGTCATCCTTCGGCCACAGTTCTGACACGTCATCGTCCAACGCCGCTGCGAAATGCTCTCGCAGCTCTTTGTGATCTTCATTCCACAGCGCCCAGCCTCCGTCCCGTAGCCATATCGCCGCGACCCGTACGTCCAGAGCCCGTACTTGCTCGAGTGGTATGCTGTGCGTGTTGGATTCAAGCTCCGGAGGTGCTTCGTGTACTCGTTCGAGTGCGTATCGACACGCGTAAAACACCGTCATAGGATAGCCCAGACCTGTCTGTCGGCCATGTTTCATCAGTGTCGCTGAGAAGATGCACATGCGGAGGTATAGCTGGTCGGGTCTAATCCTCATCGTGCTGCCAAATGGATCTTCTTCGGTGCCTGGATCGCGTATACCATTCCAGTTGCGTCGTCCTAGGAGGATAGAATGCGCATCTCCCCAGTACATATCAAAGCCAGGTAACTCCGACCAGTGTAGTTGGCCATCGCGCTTAGCTTTATCACACAACCGTAAAACTTTGGGCTTCGAGGGCGGTTGCGCGCGAATGGCGTCCAGTAGAGCAAGATGAGAGTCGTATGCAGGCGAACACGACACGACGTTGATAAAGAAGGCGTCCCAGAGTTCCCAGATCGCTTGATTGGCATCGTGGCTTGCGGTGATAGCGTCGATGATTTTTTCCACTGAATAACCGAAGAGCAAAGGGTAGCCTCTTGATGTCAGAGCTTCTTGAATAAGAGATGAGAAGCGGTTTGGCGGGGTAGTGCCTGGGATGTCGAGGATGCTCGTCATGCTGGACGGAGTGCAAACTGCAAGCTGAATAAATAGAAAGTAGATTCGCGATGCTGGGTATCTTATCCCTTCAAATGTCGGCCTTGAAGCGATTGCTTAATGCGAAAAAGGCATCAGGCGATATTTTCGTGTATCATAGCATTTCCAAGGTCGGACCCTCAGGCAACTGCAGGCACGTGACTCGCTGGACCATGGTCGAGCTGTCCGATACCGCTTCGATGCGGAAGGTGGCGGGTAGAGATCAAGATCTCGAAATTCCAGAAAAGCTCACAGGGAAGTCGCGAAGGCTGACAGTTGATGGAATACCTAAGTGCCTACTGGTCCGTCTGCGAGTGCTTACTACGCCCGATCATTCCAGTGCTGTCTTAGCGGGTTGCCCGTACCCCACGCGTGTCGTAACCTCTGAGGTCATGCCAATACCGCGGTATAACACCTGAATGTCCCCCAAATATTGAACGATGATAAGGTTTGGTTGATGTGCATATGATGATGACTGAAGTCCTTCCTTATCAAAGCCAAGAATCTCGGACTGACACAAAAACCTATCGAAGGATGATACTAAGGTACATGAGGAGGTAAATATGGGCTCTTATGTTGCATTATGAAATCCATAGCAAGTCAGATCTTGATGGGTGTCAGACGATGGTCACATTCTTGTACGCCCGTTGCCCGGCTTGACAAAGCAACCACTCAACCATCGACGGCATCAAGCACCTCATCGATTATAGTTCCCACCAACAGTCTTTCGAGCAAGCTAAGTTTCTCACATCAGACGAAACGACGGTGTTCTCCGTCAAATTGTCGACCAGCGCATGTATAAAGAGCGGCGCAATCTTCCATTTCATGTAGCACACAACCACCGAGTACAACTACAACAGTCCCTTACCCCATACTTATACTATCAATTATGCAGCTACAAGCCCTTCTACTCACCATCCTTATCACTCTGGCAGCCGCCGCTCCGGTCGCAGAGCCTCAACGCGTCAACCCTGGCGGCGGCTGCCGTCTAGCTGTCCGAGACGCAGAGCCTCAACGCGTCAACCCTGGCGGCGGCTGCCGTCTAGCTGTACGAGACGCAGATCCCGGGAAGAAATTCGGTGGAGGCCGCGATCTAGTCTCTCGGGATGCTAATCCACAAGTCCGCTGGAAGGATGGCGGCCGTCCTCCAGCCGCTCGAAATGCTGAGCCTGGAAGGGTAGGCCCAGGGGGACACAGTGGCGGATCGGGAGTTAAGGAGAGAGATGCTGATCTACTTGGAGTCGCTGAGCCCCGTGGAGTTCGGGGCGGAAGACCTGGCAGCAACGGTCGCTAGACGCGCGATGTCGCGTTCCAAGTAAGCAATAGCTGAGTACATTGCTATCGTTGCAGGCAAAAAAGGCTAACAATTTGTCAAGGAAGGAAAGAAACTTCTATGGGAGGGCTATAGTTGGAGCTGACAAGACTGAGCTCGGATGTGAGCTCCGAGAGACGGCCGGTTGGAATTGAGTAAGTGGTCTGGGGAAGACCAAGATGATTGCCTTGGGCAAAGACACTGTCGCTACATTAGCTACGACTAGCTCAATCAGAACATGATACAAAGTGCGTATGACACCACATTTGAAGCGTGCAGCTGTGAGATGCTCGGAATGCGTCAGTGACTAAACCCTTTCCCTCTCAGCCTCCTCCAGCTCTACCGTCCACAAGTGAAACTTCGACCTCGCTCTAATCCTCGGACCAAACCGAAAGAACAGCCACGGCACAGGCGCCATAACCAAAGCAACAAACCCCAGCGTACTGCTAGCCCACGGCGTCCCCATCTTAACATACATCTGCCGCGCGAACAGTGGGAAACCAGCCGTAAACAAAGACCGCATGACGGCATTAGCAGCCAGTGCGCTTGCTGAGAAACGCCCGTAGCAGTCCGTCAGATATGCGTTGGTGCCCAGGAACAGCGTGACAAAGCCGATGCCAAAGGGTATGCCAGAAAGGATGCATACGATCCAATGTGTTGGCGGATTCGCCGTCCATCCGAACCAGAAGAGCGCCACGGGGATGAACCACGCTATGATGATGAGATGAGGAAGTCGTGCTTCTGGCTTTGGTCCTCCAAGATTCTTGACCCATTTGCCATGGATGTCGTTAATCCATGGTGAACTCGCCGTTGCGATCGCCATGCCGAGTCCGATGCCCAGGAAGGACAGGCCTGCGGTGCCCTCACTCCAATGACGCGTCTGCCGGAAGACTACTGGGTAGGCGGTGAAGTCAAGGTACAGGATACCCCAGACGAATGCTGAGTAAAGGCCGAGGACGAATAAGATGGGCTCCGTGAAGAGCATGAGCCATGGTCGGGTTAGATTGGTGGAGTATTGCTCCTTGAAAGATTGCAGTGGGGGCTTCATGCCGGCCTTTGCCATCTTACGTTCGAGCAACGTTTTCGTGTATGTCTCGGGAAGGAAGAAGAGCATGGCGGTGTATACGGCTACGGCAATGATGGTCACAACCCAATAGAGCCATCTCCAATTTAGATGCTGCGAGATGAAACCTCCTGCCACCGGCCCGAGGACTGGACCGAGGGAACTGCCCGTCGTGAACAGTGCAAATGGCACCGAACGATGGCTTTGGGGCCAGATGTCTGCTAAGCATCCGCCGCTATTGGTCACAACGGGTGATCCAAAGAAGCCGCTGAAGAACCGAAATGTCAGTAGAGCGGCAAGGCTAGGCGATAGCGCACAGCCAATATTGAAGCAGAAGAAGAGAAGCATGGTAATGCGGAAAACGATCTCTCTTCCCAGTGCTTCTGAGAGCGGCGCGAACAACATTGGGCCAGAGGCAAAGCCGACCAGGAATGTCGTTACTCCTAACGTTGCAATGGTCGGTGAACATGCGAATTTTTTGGTGACGCCAGGGATTGCCGCGGCGTGGATACTTGAGCAGAAGGTGATATTCGCCGTCATGAAGACGATCACCATTGTCGCCGTCCATTTCTTTCGGGCGGGCCAGTTGAACGGGTGCTCCTCAGGGTTGAGCTTGATCTGGTAGGAGCCGTCTTGCATGACTTTATCGTTGAGCACTGCCTTCTCTTCTGATCCATGCTTGACGGAGGGAGAGATGAGATCTTCGGGGTCTTGGATAATCGTGCCACCTCGATACATGGCGGCCGACAAATAATGAGGAAAAAGGGTGTGTTGTGATGAGAGCAAGACTTAGCTACAGTCTAATATAGCTTTAATTATGGTCAGAGGTCACGAATATGACGCTGCTGGAACGTAGCAGACACACGAGCTACGAACAGTCGAGGCATCTGCGGACGTGCCAAGCTCAGTATACAGTGACTCATGTTGACCGTGGCTTGTATTGCTTGCCGCTAGGAGAGTGCGCCACTGATGAAGATGGGGCGAGCATAATAAAGGCACCAGGACCCTGCATGTTGTGTAGGCGGTCAAGCGTGCCGCATGTGAATCCTACGAGAACTTTAATCTGAATGCTTCAGCTAACGATGGACCAGGTAGCTTCGATGTAAGGTTTCCGGCGACTGGCGTGTAATCCGAACATGCGATGCACCAACGCTGCAATGGCCGTATGAATTGTGCTTGTCCAGATGACGAAGGATGCGGCGAGGGACTATTCATGCCCAGACCCGCGTCAGGTCCTGAAGCTCCAATTACGGGCGCTAACGTGCCCCGTGGGGTAGCTGTGGAGAGCGGTATGCAGAACAAAACAGAAGTCGACTTTAGGTATTGGGACAACACGTACGACTCCATTTCCGACGTGCGCGCCCTTCTGTGCCTCGGGAAATCGCCAAGGGCTGAGTCTAGAACGGCCTTTGGCTAAGCGATCTGTACGATACCAAATACGTACATGAACATTGGTGGAAACTCTGCTGTGTCAAGGTTGTCAACAACGCCCTGCGACAGTCATGACAGCCTCGTCTGATCCTTCATGGACATGAAGACAAGTAAGGCGCAGGGCGTAAAGTCGGACAGCCAACTGATGTGGAAGGATCAGCTGCGTCTAATAAGGCAGCATAACTGACTATTCCATTGCTGCTAAAGACGCGGTGGAGCATCCTCGAGTTCATACTGCGATCGCAAAGATGTTCCCCTCTAAGAATTAGTTTACTAATAAATAACTATAAAAAAATTATATAATAAATTAAATATAGTTTTATAAATAACTTTATAAAGTACTATTAAATAAAAAGTACTTTATTATTATATTTTAGATACTATATAGTAGTAAGTAGCTATACTTATACTACTATTTATACTACCTAAATTAATACGTAGTTACTTTATTACTATACTAAAAAGATATTTTAAGTAGCTATAATTATTTACTAGTATTTATAAATAAATATACTAAAAAATCTTATAATAATTACTTTTATAGATAGCTCTATAGCTTTAATTTCTTAATTATCTAATATTTAGTAGATAGCTTAGAACGTAAACTAGCTTATTATATAAACGCCTACTATATAGCTATATTAGATTCTCTTTATACTATATCTTACGTATAGCTACTAATAGTTTTATTACTATTATATAGTTTTATATTTAACCTAAAGATATAATCTTATATAACTCTACTTAGCTTATTCTTACTTAAGACTACGTAAGATAGTAGTTAAAATATATAAGCTTATTAATAAGTAAGATATAAGATATAACTTCTAATAGCTAAGATATAAAAGAAATAAGCTTATCTAATTAGATAGTAATCTACCTATAAGCTAACGTATATAAAATAGTTCTAATAGATATAATATTATATATATTTTATTTTACGCTAGATATAAATATACTATTATACTTTTAATATACTTATATTCTTTATAGCGTAGCGTAGTCTATAATATTACTTTAACTAGACTTCTTTAGCTATATACTATTAATATAAATAAAGCTATTTTCTATTTCTTTATATATTACTATAGAATTTTAAAAATTAGAGTTTCTATTTACTTAGCTAAATATAAGTATAATACTAGTAGACTAGTAGTTAATAAAGTATTTAATCTA